TTAGGGTTAGGGTTAGGGTTAGGGGTTAGGGTTAGGGGTTAGGGTTAGGGTTATTTTGGTCTAGTTAAGACATTTGCTGTAACTTACTTTGTGTTTAGTGCTAATTAGCAAATGTTAGCATGCCAACACGCTATACAAAGATGGTGTGTGGCAGTGCTTTATCAAGCTCTCTTAATACAGCCCTGATGTTAGCATGCTTCCGTTAGCATTTAGCATAACGCACTCCTGCACCAAAGTACAGCCTCGCAGAGCAGCTAGCTTGGCTTGGTTCACACTGTCCTTGGCGGTGTCTCATTCCGCATACTTCCGTCAGTACACTGCTAATGTGCACTGACCACGTACTGCCGTAGTGCCCACTTGATGGTTGTATTGTCCAAAGGAAACTATGTTGACCGAAAAAGAGGAGGAGGAGGGGGGGGAAAAAAGGGACCCCCGGGAACGCGATTTTCCACAAAAATATATGCCGGCTTTTGTTTACAAACATTTTTCTGCACGTTCATTTACCGCTCAGTTCACAGCACAATAGTAGCTAGGTAGCATTAACATGTAATTACGCTAATAACCCAAATGATTATGTCTGGCTCAGTCAGTGTCAGTGAGGACATGTAAGTAATGCATTAGATGACAGTAAACGTTTCGTTACCGCTGTTACTTACATTTATACTATAGAGTTCACATTTATAACGTGCTCGTCCCAATGGTCCCTCCCCTTCCGCTTTGTAGTGAAGATGGCGTCCGTTTAGTGCGAGTAGGGTCCATCATTCCACACTGAATGTTTTGACCGTTTTTAGGGGGTCATCCAGGTACTTTCAGTGCACTGACTTTTGTGTTATCTACACTATATACTTAAAACTAAGTGTGCATGTAAGCGAAATGTTCTGATTTACTGCTCAGATCAGACTTTTTGTTTTTTGTCAGATTCCAGTGTGAACAGATCACACTCCTGAACTGACCTGCATGCACAAAAGAACAATAAAGATGTCACACACGCCTTTGTATAGAAACATAGAGGCCAATGTGTACAGTGTCATTTATAAGTTGATGTGCAGTGAAAGCCAATAAGGATGAGGAGAAAGGGAGATCATTTTTTTAATTAGGGTTTTTTTTTTCTGTATGGAGATGTGTGTGAATGCGTAGTAAGAGAAACTTGCTTCACAGAAACGAAATTCATCCAAAATTTCAGGATGGCAAAGGCTTTGGGCTCTCCTAATACAGTAACACCTCTATCGAATTTAAGACCACATTTGATCTCCGTGCCACACTATCAGTTTGATGCCCCAGAACTCAGGACAATGTGCAACTGTATTAGAGTGACTCTCAAACAGGGATAAAGGGGCACTGCCTCTTTGACTTTTTACTCATTCAAGCCTTCACATACTGGTGTATTGGTGTTGCTGTGAGTCCAACTATGGATGCTAAATAAACAGAAAGACAAGATCATACTTTAAATGCTTTATTTAACAAATTGCTGCCACAGGCCATTTTTGCCTGCGGTCAAAAAATATTTTTCTAGGTGCAGCTTCCTTAACACGTTAGACTCCCTCAGGCTTTGTGTGAACATCAGAATGTGAAGGTGTCAGGGTAAAATATAGGGCTCATTATTTGTATTTTTAGGATTCAGGTAATATAATCACCACTTGGTAATTAGCATCATCAGTATATGATGTATGCAGGGTGCCAACTATACCATAGCTTTTGGGAGAACTCAGTGAAGTGAGTGAAACTTCAATGGTAAGAATAGCATGCATACCAGTACCTCCTTTAAATCATCTCTGTTGAATCCCGCTCATGCACAAATCAGTAATAGCTTAAGTTTACACATGATTCATGAGGATATCGAAAAATAGAAATGTATGGCAAAAAATAAGTTGTTGTCAATATTTTAGAGACCCCCTAAAAATGATTTAATAGTCTTCGGGGAAGATCATGTCTTATTAACTAACCCTAACCCTCCCTCTGGCTCCCCTGTAGTTCACACCCTGGATGTTTATATATATTATATATCCATAGGTAGTGTGTGACCAAGAGAACCAACCAAGAGAATCAACAGAGCAACAATACATGATCTCCTACTTTAGCAAATAATTTTAGATCAAGTTTAGTGGTGACTTTTGTCTAACTGATAAGAAAACCACCTGCCAATTGTTAGCTACCAACTGCTGTGTAATGTCAGACCTAAACCAGGAGAAAGCTGGACAGCAAAAGGAGGAAGAAAGCAACAAAAAAAAACTACAGAACCTTCCTGAGAGGCACGAACCTTTTCAAGAAAAACTGGATCTCTAGTACATCCTTTAAAAAAAATAAACTGAAGCTGAATACATCTAAAATTATGATCTCCCAAAAGAAGCCCAGATCTCAGGACCAAAGTCATCAGTTAAAATTAGAAAACATCCATCTTACATTTTAAAATGAGCCCCCAAGACACACTGAGATTTCAGGCACTACAAACCCAAGAACTGATCCCCCAAAATAGTCCCTGTCAGCTGGTCTTGAGACTTACTGATCAAATAACACCCAGTAATGTTCAACCTCAGTCTAGCACTGCTTTCCACTAATAAGACTAAACCAAATCCTGGCTACCAACAGAGGAAAGAATCTGAGGTCACTCCACAACAGGTGAGGTTGAGACAGAGATGCACTCTCTTAAAATGTGAAAAATAGGACATCAGATGGGAATACTTTAATACATTTAATAGAGATAGAGATAGCATACCCCGCGAACTGCTTGCAGCGCGAGAGCCAAGAAAAAAAACAATGAAGCTATCAGAATCAGAATCAGATTTATTGCCAGGTAGGTTTTTACACATACAAGGAATTCGTCTTGGTGCATTGGTGCATAAAATAATACAATCACACAAAAATATACAAATCCCACAACAATCACACACAAAAAAATAGAGTACTTTTAAAATATAAATAGATAAAGATAAACTGTACAGAAAACGGGAGTGCATTAATGTATTGCATTTATACAGGGTGGGTATAAGAGTCAGTGTCAGTGGGGGGTCCGGGTCTTATTAATGAGGCCAGCTGCAGACGGAAAGAAACTGTTTTTGTGGCGTGATGTTTTGGTCCTAATGGACCGCAGCCTCCTGCCAGAGGGAAGTGTTCTTGCCTGCATGCCTCAGGGTCCTGGAGGCGTACAGGTCCTGGAGGGATGGCAGATTGCAGAAGATCACCTTCTCAGTGGATCGAATGATACGCTGCAGTCTGCCCTTGTCCTTGGCAGTGGCAGCAGTGTACCAGATGGTGATAGATGAGGTGAGGATGGACTCGATGATGGCCATGTAGAAGTGCACCATCATTGTCTTTGGCAGGTTGAACTTCCCCAGCGGCCGCAGGAAGTACATCCTCTGCTGGGCTTTCTTGGTGAGGGAGCTGATGTTCAGCTCCCACTTGAGGTCCTGGGTAATGATGGTACTCAGGAAGCGGAAGGACTCCACAGAGTCAACTGGAGAGTCACACAGGTGGGGCCGGGTTCTTTCTGAAGTCCACAACCATCTCCACTGTTTTCAGAGCGTTTAGCTCCAGGTTGTTCTGGCTGCACCAGGTCACCAGATGGTCAATCTCCCATCTGTAAGCGGACTCATCTCCACCAGAGATGAGCCCAATGAGGGAGGTGTCATCCGCGAACTTCAGGAGCCCGACGGACTGGTGACTGGAGGTGCAGCTGTTGGTGTACAGGGAGAAGAGCAGAGGAGAAAGAACGCAGCCCTGGGGGCATCCGGTGCTGATGTACTGAGAGAGAGAGACATTTTACCCCAGCTTCACGTGCTGTTTCCTGTCGGACAGGAAGTCTTTGATCCTGTAACAGAGCTGGGATTATGGTGTTGAAAGCAGAGCCACATACAGGATCCTGGCATAGGTTCCTGGGGAGTCCAGATGCTCTTATCCAATGCAGAACAGTTGCTGACTATATCTTTTGTAACAACAAAAAGATTAAAAAACAACAACCTCTTTAATACAGACAACATCAGCACATGGAAGCAGGTTATCTGTAACAATTATACATGCCAAAAAAGGCATTGGTTGTGGTGGATGCTTAACTGTGTGCCAGGATGAAACCCTTGACACAGACAACCCTCTGCTCACTGACAAGCTCAACACACTGTTTAACAGACTACTGCAAAAATATGTATGGCTACCAGATACATTAGACACGCACGCACACGCACACACACATACACACACACACACACACACACACACATACACTAGATTAGTCCACATGTATTAACTAAACTAAATTGGTTGCATCAGATTGGTGTTTTATCTGTTTCGTTTTCTTCATGTTTTAGTTGAATTTCTTTTTTCCCCTCACAAATGAAATCTTTTACAATAAGCTTTTGGAATATTCAGGGTTTGTACTTTTGGTCTTAAGAGCACCAAGATTTCTTAAATAACATAAATAATACTGTATTGCTATTTACTATATACAATATTTTCATTCTATTTGAAACATGGTGTCAATCTGATGCAGTTACTCAATGTCACTCAGGCTACAGTGAAACCACAGTGACTGAGTGAGTGAATATATGTTTATTTCCTGTGTGGTCTATACAGTCACTCTTGACCCCTGCACCTACAGCCAGAAGAAACAACCCTGACAAAACAATAAACAGAAATGGGAAAGAGTGCATCTCTGCAGAGCCTCAGACCAGTCTATACAGTAGTTGATGCCATTGCAGACATGGACTCGTCACTCGTCCAGATCACAGCCAGATTAATATCTACTTGAGAAAACACATTAGAGACGCTATTAAGAAACAGCCCAGTAAGCTGTATGATTTAAACCAACCATACAGATGGGCAAATGGTTTAGCAGTGAATGTAAAGAAAAACCTAAAACAGCTATCAAACCAAAAACACGAGACCAACATGACCCAATACTACTACGTGAATACTTAAAGAGAGAGAAAGGGGGGAGAGACAGAGAGAGAGAGAGAGATGGGTGGGGGTGCTCTTCCAGAAACACTCTCTTTGGCAGCGGCGATGAGAAGTTGCGGCAGCGGGTGACGGGCGATGTGAGAGCGGTTTTAATGTGCGCCACACCGCATCCGACTGTCCGTGTGCGGACAGACTTCGTCTGACATGAGTTCGGACTGTGAAAGTTACTACAGCAAAGAAAACGTGTTCGTGGAGGGATTCACGTGTCCGAAGGTGGACAGTGACACCACGGCACTTTTCTGCTGCGGGTTCAGTGACTTGAAGTACTGTTGTGATGACCCCAACAGCTTTTTCCCCTACGAGTATGGATACATGTGGTGGTTAAGGTAAGGTTGCATATTGTTTCCCATCAGGATGTTGTACAGTGGAGGTTAAATGCACCTGTAAACTTATGCAGCATCAGGACTGATTTCAACTGCAGCAAACATGCAAAATAAATCACAAGATACAAGACTTTCAGGGTTAAAAACACGTGAAAAGAAACACATAATCTGCAGCTTGTAGCCACCAGTTTGTGTTCAGAAGCCAACCTGTTGATGGCATTTTGCAGCATGTCTCTGTTTTACTCCAATCAGGCTAATTGGCTGCCATAAATGGGAAACTGAAGATTAATTAGGACTTCAGAAATATTCACACTCATCCTGAGTCAGTAAGTGGGGAGTTCATGGTGGAATGTTAATGTTACCTTGCTTTGTATGTGCAGCAAACCTATCAGGTGTGATGCTCTAAATGAGGAATGAAATAATTCATTAATGCATCTGACCATGCACACTTTGAACACATTTGAGTTCCACACACTATCAGTATCATTAGGGACTACATTGCTTCTCATAATTTTTTTTCTCTGCAAAATGTCCACAGGGAGGTGTTTGATGTCATTTTTCAATGCACCACAAGCAATTTGGTTGACTTCCATTTCATTGTGGTGGAAGGATTTAATCAATATAGCAAAAACCTGTGTAAATAAAACACATTTAATACATTTTACTTTGTAATTAAGGTGAATTGAGCCTTTAAAAGGACCAGTGTTTTAGGTTCTGTGGTATCTAACAGTGAAGTTGCCATGACAAGATTTATTTTGGCCCCATCTGGCCATTTCTTGGGGCACTACTGCCTATCTAGAGCCAGTGTTTGGTTTGTCCAATCTGGGCTACTGTAGAAACAGGGCGGCTGTGGCTCAAAGGCAGAGATATTATAAAAATCCAGTATTCCATCTGCAAACATTTTTTTGACGCTCTATTAAATAATGTATTGTCATTTATAATGTAAGGCTTTTCTTTGTAAGGAAGGTTTGAAGTGGGCTTTTAATCAATTTTATGATGTATCACAATGCAACCCACAGCATGTTTCCCAATCATGTCTGTAGAACGTCCAGTGAAAGTAGCGCATGATATATCTGGCCATTCTGCGTCATTATGTGTAATTATTTGTAATAAGAATTTGCCTTGCTTTTACTGGAGTGCTCTCACTGCTCTCAAGGTACAGAGTAGGCACTCTCAGTATGACACAGCATGAATGCAACACGTGTTGCACAGCCACCTTTAAAGCAGACTAGCAACAAAAATAATACAAAAAATATATTTTATCTTTCACATTTTATACAAATTCATTTTCTTTTTGGTAAAGCTGTCGATACTGTGGTTTTACTTTAGTTGTCCATATGCTGTTCCAGCTTAACAAACAATAAACTGATCATTTATACTAAATATGCAGGTGAAAACAGGCATGCAGTGCAGGTTTAAACCAGCAGCATTGTTATTGTCCCATTTGTACAGCTTTTATTTATTTAGAATAAATGTACCTTACACCTGAGATCTGTAGAGTAACAAGAAGAAGTCTACAGCGATGCGTTGACACAGTGTTACTCTGAGCAAAATAGCTTAAACAACTGGCACACGTCTTGGGGTCTGAACCAATCAGCGTCCTATGAGGAACTACTGGCAGCTACAGGTATGGTGATTCATTTCGTGATAAGTGAATGATCAAAAACAACAATGGCGGCTCTTTAAGAGGTTAGCGTCGATGCTGCTAGCATCAGTAATATAAGAACTGGAGAGTATTTCTTCATTGAAAGACGAGCCAAGAACAGCACCTAAAGAGGTCCAGTCATTATGGACCAATAGGTAACATCCAAGTTAACAATTAATTCAAATTTCCCTTTAAAAAAAAAAACACACCGTATCAGTACTTATCAATCCTAATCAATGTCCACGTTGTAAACTGATGCAGTTGGTTGCATGTTAATATGTAATTTCTATTGTAAAGTATATTGGTCACAAGGTGATACTTCTGTCTGTCTTTGTCTTCTGTTTTATAGTCTTGGAGCTCTTGTGGGTCTGTCTGTAGCAGCTGTGGTTCTTCTCGCCTTCATCATCACTCTCTGTGTCCTCTGCTATCTGTTCATCACCACTAAACCCAGGGGTTTGGACAACGGGCTGCCTCTGCGAGCACCAGGTACTGACTGTCCATCCGTCTCTCTGCAGGGGGCATTGTGCTAAGACCTTGATAAAATACACTGAATTATTTAGGAGCGACCTCCTGACATTTATTAACTGCTGATCCCTGGGACAGAAACAACCTGACTTTGCGAGCTGGGGTATTTTCTCATATAAAACTGACATTAAGCGCTCTTTACATGGTTTATGATTCATCAGTTATTTGCAGTTTTGTTTATTTTAAACATCTGTACTGTAAAGTTTGACATACATATAATTTCTAACATGTATTACATTACATAATATCATAGCACAATCATATCATTATCATAGCCTATATTTCCTTTAAACTATACTTTTGTATATATTTTACCCTGTGCAGTTATATTTATTTTTATACCATGCCACTACCTCCTGCTGTGACCTGTGCCTGTTCCATATAAATCACATCTGTATATAGTGTACATATAACTCTTATTCTATTTTCTCTATTTCTATTACATTGTGTTTTTTTCTGTTTCTATTGTGTTGTGTTTTATCTGTAGCTGCTGTAGTGAGTGAATTTCCCCAGTGTGGGATCAGTAAGGTCTGTCTTATCTTAGTGACATAACCATTGAATGGGTACTAAACAAATTCAGGCTACAGGCAACCAGCAAGGTACGATATGAAAGTTTGCATGGTTGTATTATAATATAAGCACAGAACAAGATTTGAGGGCAGTGTCTCAGCTTTCATGCTTTGCACATTTCAAAACTGCTCTCTCATTTTTCTCTAGCTGTTCAGAGCATGTGAGGTGAGTTTATAACTTAAAAAGCCATGTCTTTATATTTGCCCATTTCACAGCTACAAGGCAGAGTGTCACAGGACAATATACCTGCAGTTTCAAAGCACATGGAAGTTGCTCTGCTCTCCCTTTGAATTTGCATGCGAGGGATATAAACTGCCAAACCTTCAAACAGCTTCAAAGAAACTAAGCAAAGAGAACGCAGGGACTTTCTTTTAAAAGTTCTTTTAAATTTTTGGGGTATGGTATCCTCTTAACATGTAATAGCAGTTTCATAAGCCTTAAAATGCTAGAACACACACTAAATCTGTGGCATTTCTTGGCCACTTATTTTGCCTAATTAGTGACTCTTCTCAGGAATGACGCCTACCTTCAACTGAAGCAGAGGTCTTAAAAACACCTACCCTACTAACTAACTACATGTTTATCTATGCATGCTGGCTAGTAGGGATGTGGCTTTTTATTGGAAATTCCAAAATTCAGTCGAACATGGTGTTTGAATTCACAATTATATAGTCTATAGATACCCGTAAAACTTAAATTTTTAAACCCCGGCTTTGAATTAAATAACATCAATTAGGAATCATTATATTTGATAGTTTGGTGCTCATGGTTTCCTGTAAAATGAACTGAACGATTAAATTATGGAGAATCTAACCGATCTAATTATGTGTAGCATGTCCATACTGACAGAAGTTTCAATTTCAGTTTGTGATCTAGGCAGCTTAGCTTAGCCCATTGTGCTAACATGTCAATAACCTATTATTTAGGAGCAACCTCCTGATGTTTATTAACTGCTGATCCAAAGGTTTTGGAAAAAATAAACAACCTGACTTGGAGAGCTTGGGTATTTTTGTCTAAAGACAAGAAGTTTAAAAAGTTTTCTGTCTCCCAGGTGCTACATTGAGTCCACAAGTACCAGGTCCGAGTCATACCGCTGCCCCTGCTGGCCCACAAGGCTTCAGGAAACACTTCCTGAGGGGCAAGCTGGACTGTGACAACCAGCCCCCGGACCCTGATCGCCTTTTCCAACGTTGTTTCATGGCAACTGTGACATCTATCAACGTTGAGGGTCCTGCATAGACTGGTGGACTTTATCTTGATTCCCTCTTTGGCAGCCAACTACTGGTCACCACTAAGCTGTCACTTTTCTGAGAAGATTAGTGATCGCTTGAATCCTGAATAGAAGAGTTAAGGTACCAGAGCTAATTTGGGGGAAAAGGGGTTCTCCTGGTCCACACTTCTCCCAAAGGTTCCCATTTGGAGTCACGATTACAGTGTTTCTGATGCCTTCATTTTACCTCCGCTTACTATCTTGCCATCGTAACTAAATGCATAGTAATATGTATGTGCTACGTGCATGAACGTGACTACAAACCAGGCTGATATTGAAACAAAATATTATGGGAAATGCAAAACTTATTTTAAATTACATTTCAGTGGTCTCATACTACAGTTTATGCATTTTCATTGGAAATTTGGAATATTTTGACAGTATTATGTTTTTAAATGACTTTCATTTCCTTTTGTGTCCTTCTAAAGGCAGCTTGCGTACCACCAGTGGTATACGTACCATAGCTTGAGAACCAGTTATCTAAACACTGACTGTAGCAGAAGAAAAAGAGTGATGCAAATGTGATCTCAGTTACTTTGCATTTTTCATTTATGAGTTGTAGTTTGGAAGTCGTACATATTATTTGTTGTGATGTGTTTGTGTAACTGTCTGTTGGACACTCAGAGCAACAGTGTTCCTCATAATCAACATACAAACAAAAAACTGTGATTGCTAATTGCTCTTATTTTGCCTGTCCCATCAGGGCAACGACAGTATTTTGGGGAGTAAATTAAAAAACGACAAGACAAAATGACACAATTATGTGATTGTGTAGACAATCGAGTATTTTTATGGCGGTAAATCGGCAGAAGAGAATGTTTAGAAAATGTTTGCTGACTGCAAAATCAAAAGAATTGAATACAGATAATTTGAAATATGTGGTTATTATTGGCTTTAGACAGATGAGATGAGTTGAGTTATTATAAATGTATTAGAGCTCATTCCCTTAAGTCCAGAGGTTGTTGGCACCTGTTACAAAAAAAAATGTTTTCAAAATTACATCCACTGAGAAATAACCTCAAAACCCTCTCTGAATGATGATTAATCAGAGTCAGAAATGTTTTCACTGAACCTGAGAGACAGACAGAGTGATTTTGACAAACAAATACTAAGTGAATTGTTTAGTTTCACCTAAATTTCCAAGGGAACTGAGCGCTCGTTGTTTGTTTTGTTTGCCTGTTCTGCTTAGCTTAGCAGTAGTGATCGGGGTTGGTGCCACGATATTGAGATCCCGCCCATATGTCGAACCGACTCCTTTACGAACAGGGATCAGCTCTTAATCATGTTGTGAAACCCCCTTTTATTTCAAATAACTAATTAAAAACAAACGTACCAAGAAAAAGAACACTTTAACATACATCAGCATGATAAGAACTACCTAATATGACAGTAACCATCTTTTGGAAATTAATATGACGTGAAATTTATATTTAAATGTTTTGGTTTGGCCCATGTCCTGTCCACCACCAGAGGGCAATCGAGATGTTTTGGTTTCACTTTTGGAGAGCTGTCATATGGTCCATCTTTATATATGTCAGTGCATCTGGCGCACAGGGCCACTCCACTGATTGTACACACAGCTCAGTTTACCCGTCATGATCATCTGGGTTTTGAGGCTTCAAATTTTTACAAACTGGGGACATGAAAAGATGTGGTTTACCAGGCAGGGAGAGTCCAGCAAAATACATTATGGAGTGCATTATGGGAATTGTAGGCTCTAGTGTTTTTGGAGCTTGACCCAAACTAGGGTCACATACTAAAAGTCAGGATATCTCCCCTCTGCTTTGATTTATCTCGTAGCTTTTTGGAAGTGCAGTACTAACCCCTAAAAGTATGTCCACTGGATAACGCTCTGTCAAGTTCCTGTTGCATCACATCTCTGTCTCATTTCAAATGTCCGCTGGAAGAGTTTCTGGAGTGGAGCATCTAATGGCAGCCACTTTGCAACAAAGTTGTCAATATTTTTAACGCAGTCCTCTTGGTGCATTCCATTTAAACAGAGAAGTTGACATTTCTGAGCTCCCAGTCGGATATTTCAACTGGAATGCCTCCTGAAGTCAGATTTCTTTAGGAAGGCAGGTAGAACGTCACCAACCCCACCCTCAAAATCGAATATGGCTGCTCCATGCATCATCTGTAATATAAAATACAGCATATTGCGTTATCAACCGGTATTGTTAACAATGGCTAATCTGGCAAGAGCTTGGTTTTCCGACTTGTACTGGAATTCCCAATTCTGACTACTGAGGTAAATGGAATGCACCATCGGTCTGTCCACCACTTGGGTCCAGACTCAACAGCTGTTGGCTAGATTTTGTACAGACATTGATGGTCCCAGAGAATGAATCCTGACAAGTTTGGTGATCCCCTGACTTTACTCTAGTGCCATGATAAGGTTTACATTTATGGTTTTGAGTGAAATATCTCAACAATTTTGGATTGCCATGACATTTTGTACAGACATTTATGTTCCCCCTGAGGGAACCCTCAGGATTGATTGTTATCACTTTGTTAAAAACTTGACTTTTCACCATCAGGTCAAAATTCTCGGTTTGTCTAATTCTTTGGTTTAGGACCAGAGAACTGCACTACTGAAATCCCCATCAGCCTCAGCTGTATTTCGTGGTTATTGCTAATGCTAGCAGATGTTAGCTCGCTGACATGCAAAATTGAGATGGTAAATATTAAACCTCAGCATCAGCATGTTAGTGCTGTCATTGTGAACATGTTAGCATGCCATTAGCTTTTAGCTCAAAGCACCGCTGTGCCTAAGTACAGCCGGACAGAGGCTAGCATGGCTGCTGAGTCTTAAATCTTGTTGTGTTTTACATGCACATTAAATACACGTTTGCAGCTCATCTATGATCAATATGAGAACAGAATATTTGTGCCTGTACTTTGTTTGATTTCATTGTATGCAGCACATCCTGTTATCTTTGTTTTCTAACTGTATTTCCTGAACAGTCAGTAACTAATGAAATACACAAAAATATTTTATTCATGTCAACTGACAGGTTGTATATACGTTCAACAGCAAAGTAAACAGAGTTGTGTATGTGCAACATGCTCAGCAGCCACTGACATGACAATAGGTGACAAAACACTTTCCTTTTAGGGTGAAATATTCCTGTTAATTTACATAAGCAAATTAGTATAGATTTACACTTAAGTGTTAACAGTTACATGAAGCCTTCTTAAATACACAGAAAGTTGATTTGTTGAATTTAAAATGTTTTGGGCTGAATTGTTGCTCCAGAATTGTTGTAATGAGAAAACCCTTGTCTCATGCATTCATCAATTCTGTGCTGTGTTAAACATGAACATTGCAGAATGGATACAGTCTGGACAATTTGTGTTTTGCTTTGATGGTGTTGTAGGAGACGCCACAGCTTTATGTTGTAGCTGTAAACTATCATATTGTGCCATGACTGCCCAGTTCATTGTTAGAATATTTGTGTAATGTCAGTCTGTTTATTAATTAATCTGTGAGATTATGAGGGACCTCATTAGCAAGATATGGCAACTCAAGTGCCTCTTACTAATATGTGTATTTTCCAAAGTTGATAAAGTTATGAACTTCACTTGCTTGTGTGCTGTCTCTTGCTTTGATGCCTTACTTAACTTTGATCTTGCTGCACCTCGAGCAACGTCTGCCTAAATTATATTTTCCTTATACCTCAGCTAATGCATTTTTTATGACTCCAAACACCAAAGGTGCTGTAAAACATCCTCAGATTATTTATTCTATGTTGCGAGATGTTTTTACCCCATCATGAGACTCTTCAGAAACATTGCACATGTACAGCTATACACAGGCTTACCATATTGTATATAGTTTGTATATGTATTTTATATTTGATTCTCTCTTTTTACTCTTTGCACTTCATTCCCCGTACTGCTGTACCAATCAATGAATTTCTCTTATGGGGGATAGAAGTAAACATCCAACAAGTCAACATGGATATAGCCTCTGGACAGATCATCACTAATAACAGACTCACTTAATGCAAGCAGGGGTGGATCTAGAGAGGTGGCAAACCCCAGTTTGGTGTCAAATGCTGTCAAATATAACATTACTTTAGATTAATAGGTAATGCCATATTCTCTGTGATAGGCTTATGTATTTGGAAGAATGTCTAAGTATTTGGAAATATAACAATTTATTGATTTCTAATGCCACCTTTAGATAAAAATTTAATGTTTTAGGACCATGTGCCACAATAATGTATTGCTTTTGAGTTTAAATATATTCATTTGGGGGCTTTTGCAAGAAAATATTGATATATGTGAGTGTGTGTGATTAAATCAACATATATTTCTGCCACCCCTTAAAGTCTCCATGCCCCATAAATATTTCGCTAGATCTGCCCCTACATGCAAGTACGTCACAGATGAGCAAAATATGTTGAAGATACAAATCTTACCTGTACTGCTCTTATAGTTAAATGCATTCCCTAATTTTGTTAGAGCACCATCACTCCCCAAATTTACTCCCTGCTATTTTTTGCAAACTCAAGTTCATAATTGGTTTAAGTCTCGAAATGTATGTAGTTGATGTGATTAGTTCTGGAGGCTGTCAGCCTGTTTATGTCAGTGTCAGAAGTGGGTAATGTAGTTTAATGACTGATCTAAAAAATAATTCCCTGACGTTACTTTCATTCTTAGTATCTGCTGTATATGGCAGGCAGTGGAGCCTGAGAACAACAAAGTTCCATTTCTGTTCATGACAGGAGCCATGGTAACCAGATAATCAGTGTTATTCACTTGTACTGTCAGCGCTCACAACGTATGACTGATCGGTGTAAAGTGTGATTAAAATGGTGAAGGGAAGTAAATAAGATAAAACACATTATATAGATGAACTCAATATTCATTTTAAAACTCTTCCTAAAAGCTCAAAGTGTCTCAATAGCTGACTTTATTCTTGACTGAATTGTAAGGATGGGGAGTAAATTACTATGCAATGATCGGAGTGATCTGGTTGCAACAGATCAATCACATCTCGGAAGTTAGCAGGGGCAATGCCATGGAGACATTAAGACTGAAAGAAGAATCTTCAGATGAATTCTAAGAGACACAGGCAGCCAGTGAGAAGACCTAAGAACAGGAGCCATGATTTTCAGGTTAAGATTGAACACAGTGTCCAATCCAATGTTAAGCATTTTCAAGGTTTTGTATGTAAAATCTTACTTGTGAGTATATAGGATGGAGGGAAGGACCCTGAAAGTGCTTAGTTTGATACCATTATCTGAGGTCGAAAAAAGCACAACAATGTTATCATATCCTTTTTTTATCTTTTTTTTTGGGGGGGGCTCTTATTGTCTTTAATAGAGAGTGACAGCTGAAGAGTGACTGGGAAGAGGCGAGGATAGAGAGAGGGGATGACACACAGCAAAGGGCCACAGGTCAGAGTTGAACTCTGGGTCGCTGTAGTAAGGACTCAGCCTTGGTACCCAATGTTCTTTATATTACCTATGTCTCCCATATATGAAATGGATTCTTGTATAAAATATTTTACTGCAGAAGTGCTTTAATTGACAGACATTGTGACACACCCCATAAATGAAATGAGTGCAAAATAAAGCCAGATCCACTGGAACTCATGTAATTTCATAATGCATGCTCTGATTAATCCCAAATTGGAGTGGTAGTGGGAAGGGGGTTCTTCAACATGTCTGAAAAACCGAAGTGCAATAGGTGGAAATACCAACTATGAGGGTCTATGGTGATTGAGTTTATTTACTTTAATGTAGCTTTGGCTGAGATAGTCCCAGACACATCAAGCAGGGTGTGCTAAAAAGGTCTGACTGCTGAATCCAGCAATATATGATGATAGGTAACTGTAGAACGTATGGTCAGTGGTCTACATTAAGAGACGCTTAGCGTAATACAGTCAAATAAATGTAGTAAAGACAAATGTCCAGTACTTCCAGGGGGGCAAAAGTACAAAGCAGCAGAAAACAGCAATACTCAAGTAAATGTAATATTCCATATGCATATTATGTATGCAAGATCAACTAAATAAAGCACAGCATCTATTTTCAATTCTCAATCACACACTTGCTCACAGGAAGTATGTGAAGCAATAATTATAGCTCCAAAATCATGTTAATTGCTAGGAACTATGCCCTGCCACACCGTAAAATAGACAGGAGAATTACTGCTAATACTCAATAAATAATTAAACTGCCGTGGGCTGCTCTGACAATTTGTTATGACACTGAAGTGGAAAGAGCTTCTGTTATGGTTGGTGAGCAAGCCACAGACATAAATATCCAGAAATACGTTTTATTCAGTGAGTCATTTAGAATTTTAGAAGTGTTTTTGACATCACTCACACTACACAAACGGAGAGCTGGGAGCCCCTCTAATCAGCATCCTTAAACAGAATAGCAGCCAGGAAGTGAGATGGGTGTCTCGACATTGGGACCACTCACATTACTTTACATATGCTGTGTTTCCACTGCATCAACTCGCCCTTTTTTGGTCTACCAGTCTCAAAAGTTGTGGATAGTACCTGGTCCTTTTATTGGTATCATCTAGTGATGATCGTCCGTCGGGCCCGAACGATCCGGCTCTAAGAGAGGCTCTTTGAAGTGAGCGGCGGGAGCTGGCTCCTGACTGGGAGCCGGATCCGGATTTTTACCCGTTTTTTTCTGTTAAAGCCGCGTGATTGGTCAAGATGTGTGGCGGCGTCTGTGTATCTACACTGAGCAGGGGGGGTGGGGGGGTTACAGACAAACACAGCACAGTGAGCACGTTAACAGGAGGGAGGGAGATGTGAGAGAGCGAGAGAACTTGGTGCTACATAGACAGAGACTACACACTGGAAAGGTGAGGAAAATGAGTGACAGGAAACATAGTAAAGTTTGGACACATTTTAATGTGATAGACAGTTCAAGAGTGTAGACTGTGCAAAGTTAAACATTTCATATTGAGCAGCTTTTTGTCTAATTGAGATGGGTCTTTGTTTTTGTATTTTATAATTTATTTTAATTTATTTAATTTATTTCTGTTCCATAGTGAGTATATTAATAAATCCATATAAATAATAAACATTTGATATAATGAATGTATTTACATTAGTAATTCGTTTTACACATAATTTGGTAATAAATTAATTTAAGCAACACAAAAATCTGAGGAGCCACTTGGGAGCCGAAAGAGTCGGCTCTTTTTAGTGAGCCAAGCCAAAAAAAACGGCTCTCTAAAAAGAGCCGGAATTCCCATCATTAGTATCATCTCAGTCGAGGTTCCAAGCAAGCTGAGTTGGTATCAAAAGGTGAAGATTGGTCAGAGAAAACTCTCTTGTGCACCATGGGACATCCTCTCCTGTTATTATCAGCAATCTTTTTTGTCTTGCTGCCTTCAACCTTTTCTGAAACAAAATATGTCTCCTTGCTGTCACAAACAGCCACATACTGAACACAAGGAATTTGAACCCAAATGCAGAAATGAAGGCAGAGTGCAGTTCAGATGATTAATGGAGGAAAAATGGTGGTGGAACACAAACTTGAGGCAGTAGTCCAAAACAGTCAAATACATCCAATAGAAAGTCCACAAACTGAGAAACCATGAGGAAAGCTGCACATATGCCAAAAGACAAACTGCGATAAAAAACACAGAAACACAAATACTAAATACATATATTACTCAGGGCAGGGCAAACAATGGAAACCAGAGTGGACACAGTAGGGGGAGAATTACAAAACCATGACAAACCTAAAACCAAGCCAGAAACAGCTGAAATATTGCTATCACTAACCAGACTCCAGACACAAAAGTGGTATTTTACCTCATAACATCATAACTTCATTCAAAGTGCGCAGAAACAAACCTTTGTTGTTGTTTCCAGTGTTCCAACAATTACCAACTCTGCTTTGGTTAGAATAAATCCTTAATTCAGTGACGTAGATAAGAAAAGCAGAAAATGTAATTACTCTACTCTGCACCCAAGCAGACTGGCTATGGAAAAAAACCACAGAGAGGTAGCATAGCAACACAGGTAGAGGGAGTGTGACGTCATTCTCTGCTCATGACAACATGAATCCACCATATTTTTACATAGCAAATATTTGTCTGCTGCTTTATTGTTTCAAATCATATATGAAAGCAGGACACTGAAGTCGGGCCCATTTTAAGATATATGTATACATATATGTATACATATATCTTAAATTGTAGAACACCCCCAAGTTGCTAAAACTCAGAGAAATATTGAGGGCCCAACTTCAGTGTCCTGCTTTCAGGATGCTTTAGTACTGAAATAATTTAAAGGGATTCTGTTAGTTATTGTAGAGGCACAGGTCTGCTGCAAAGACAGGTATGTACTAGGTAAATGCAGAAGTGTTTAGGCACAAGATGAGGCAAGAACAACATTTAATAATACAGGAACAATGCCAATGCCAGGATGATGAAAGCATTTTGAGGGAACTGCCTGATGATTCATGCTGTGGGAGAGAACTGCAAACAGCAAGAACATTTTCCTCCAGCTTGTTGACTGCAAGCTTAAGCTAAAACAAGGTCATTGATTTTACACAGAAGTGCAGACACAGAGCACTCAGAAACTCACCTTGTGAACCACTGGGCTCTGCAGGATGCAAACAGCATTAGTGTCTCCCACAGTGGGAATGTAATGCTCTAGCACAGGCAAACTTTAACGTAAGAAATTTAGTTTGTTACTTCAAATTTTCTATGTAATCCATTTCAGCAATATTTTTGGAGGTAAAATAACTTATCGCATTACAGTGTACAGCAACCTTACACACAGAAATGACATTTGGAAACCTTCCTGCACTGATATGAAAAATTTAATGTTTTCAAATCAAGTGGCAGAAAATGGATGGAAGGCCACCCGGCACCCTATTGCAGGCCATATCTGGCCCGGAGGTCTTATATTAAGTATCACTGTTCTAGCACCTTCAAAGATGAGATGTGGTGTCTTATAGACACGGGGAGTAAGATAAATCAATGAGAATTATTTTATTTTGAGGTGTACTGGACCATACTTCTTACTTCTGTATCTGACTGCAGGTCGTTATTTGTGTTCATCTGCTGTTACGCTGTAGCCCACTTGAATGTTTTAAAGAGTTCGGTCTAGACCTGCTCTATTTGAAAAGTGTCCTGAGATAACTTCTGTTATGAATTGGCGCTATACAAATAAAATTGAATTGAATTGAATTGAATGTTGTATTTGCATTTTGAATCCTCTGTTAAACACTAAATTACCAAATAAGCATTAAAGCGTTTTCTTACACGTAAATGCTTATTCTGTGGTATGATAAACTAAAAAGATGTTGATCTCCACCTCAATATACCATTGTCAAATTCATTTTTGCAACACTTTAAAACAACCAGAGTAAAACTGGATCATCACAGCGTGGATGATTTCTTCTTGAGGTGTAATTTGGTGTGAAATAAGCAGGACTGACAAAACAAATATTTGAGATACATACCGCGTCTGTCACTTAGACAGTAAATTACAATGTAATCTCAGTATCAAAAACACATCACACAGAAATGTGACCAAGAATGTTCTGATCTATTAGTCCAATTAACAGAATTTAGGTGAGTTTTACTGTATTACTGGACACAACTGACAAATTGCTACTCCTGCATTTTATTTTACACCTACACCTAAAGCACAACTCTAATTTCCAGGTGGAAATAACCAAAAGAACGTCAGACTATTTGAGTGTATATATAGTAAATGGACCTGTACTTGTATAGCGCCTTTCTAGTCTTCCGACCACTCAAATCGCTTTTACACTACGTGCCACACAACTAACTCATTCATTCACATTCACACCAATGACGCAGCATCGGGAGCAATTTGGGGTTCAGTATCTTGCTCAAGGACATGCAGTGGGAGAATCGAACCAACAACCTTCCGATTAGTGGACGACCCGCTCTACCTGGGAGCCACAGCAGACCCACTACTGAACTGTTTGCAATGTGATGGGCTGAACAGGGGAGATCTGGGCGGCTGTGGCTCAGAGGAAGAGCGGGTCGTTCCTTAATAGTAAGGTTGTGGGTTCGATCCCCGGCTCCTGGTGCCACATGTCGAAGTATCTTTGAGCAAGATACTGAACCCCAAATTGCTCCCAATGCCTTGTATCAGTGTGTGAATGTGTATGAATGTTAGTTTCTGTTCGATGGACTTTGCCATCACTGAGTGAATGTGTGTGAAAGGGTGAATGTGGCACGTAGTGTAAAAGCACTTTGAGTGGTCGGAAGACTAGAAAGGCACTATACAAGTACAGGTCCATTTACCATCGACCGAAATACTCACATGTAGTAACTCTGTGTCTGTCAGCTCTCACAAGCATTGAGACAGGACAACCAGTAATCCTCAGGATCTGCTTTATAAACTCCTGGTCACAATTCAAGAAAACAAAAATAGTAAGAAAAATATCACATTCATGACGTGGGTCCCCACCAGGTCCCTGCACATTCAGGTATCCCTGGAAACCAAAAAGCAGACAAATTGTCGGAATAATAGAGTTTCAAAATCAGAGGGGAAAAGTATAGCACAGTGGAAACTATGGAAGCCCTTTTCCACCAATTCTTTAAGTCAGTATAATGAGGAACTTTACATCATTATTTTGACTTAGTATCCCAAAATAATGAGAGGCCTAAATTAGAAAAGGCCTGTGTGTTGTTCCCTCATATGCTTCAAAGCAACAAAATTAGGTGAATGAGACCAAAAGAATACTGTCACTGAAGATTACTTTAGACGTGGATTCACAAATCGTGAGATTTTAGAGGTTTTGTAGGAATCACATAATATCTGTCTCCGGACCCTAGAGAGAAAGCTACAAAAGAATCAGCTCTGGCGGAGACGAAATAAGACAAATGTAGAGGAAGTAGCATCCTACGGAAGTGTATTGGATTCACTTGAAAAAAACTGGTTTTTCTGAGTAATTTATTTTCCTGTTTTTCTGAGTAATTTTTTCTGTTTTTCGTAGTAATTTTTTCCCCCATGTTTTTTGGAGTAATTTTTTTCCTGAATTATCGAGATACTTCAAACTCCCACGAGAACCTCCAACCTGCAAGTGACTCCCATGGACCTATGGTGACTGCCCGCACATACATGCCCCATCTTCAACTATCTACCATACCGGGTCAATTTTGCTATGTATATATTGCTATGTCTAGCAGATCTGATTCCTTCTGAACAAACACAAAGTCCTCAGGTGCCTGCGTGGAGTCGACAAACTAATGATAATACCATCTATATGACTTAAAGACAGGACTATCTCCCAGTGTCTTAAACCCAGATCAAAGTATAACTTGATTGAACTAAACAAGCCGGTCATGTTTGTTTCCGTTAAATAGACCTCTCAATAAAGGAATGAATGCGTCTATTGTTTCAAACGCTCTCTAAACTCAGGAAAAAAAATTGTCAGAAAAACAGAAAAAAAAAATGTATTCAGAAAATCTGAAAAAAATGACTCCAAAAAAACAACCATAAAAATAAATTACAATGAAAAACAGAAAAAAAGATTACTCCGAAAAACAAACTGAATTAATTTTCAAGTGAATGCAATACGTTTCCGTAGCATCCTTCATTGACCAGCAGTTACAAATGTCTGGCAGACAGCATGGCTACAGATGGCTGAACTGAGAATACCCACTTTGCAAAGTAGTGTTCAATGACAGTATCCATTTGGTCTGCCAAACTTTGTCTCATTCACTTGATTCTGTTGCTTTGGAGGATATGAGGAATCAACACACAGGCCTATTATAATTTAGGTTTCTCATTACAATGACATACTAAGTCAAAATAATGAGAAAGTTTCTAATTATAATGACTTAAAGATTCCTTTTTTTCCTGTCATATTGGTAGAGATGGGCTTCCATAGGGAACAGTACAAAGACAGTGCAACAAAACTTCCTAGCAAAATACAGAAAATACACAGAAGACAAGTGATGGACACAGTTAAGGAAAACAGAGTAGAGGCCAGGTAGCTACATTTACTCAAATACTGTACTTAAGTATAAATTCGAGGTACTTGCACTTTAAGTTCAAATCAACAATAAACATTTACAGCAGTAGAATGCCACATACACATTAATGCAGCAGTAATATTAATCCAAAAACATCAGATATAATAGAAAACATTTTACTGTGCAATGAGTCCTTTTTATACTTTGACTTTTACTTAAGTAAGGTTTTGAATTGAGGACTTTTACTTGTAGTATTTCCCCTGTGAGTAATTTCAAATGGAGTAGAAACATATCCGGAAGGGGGCAGTAATGTACCGTTAAGGTTGCCAACTGCCGTAAAACATCAAAGAAGAAGAAAGCTGTTCCTTGGAAACAAGGGACGCCTGTGTGGTCGCTATGTACGAAGTAAAGCAAAGTACGGTCAGAAGTTGGCAACATTATGAGCTGTTTTTATGTTTCCTAATGGATGTGAGGTTGTATAGGTTATAAATGACCTCTAAATGAACCTGAGACACTTTTTAGCACCGTGTGGAGTTAACGTTAGCTAGCAAACACGGGTTTAGCCTCTAGCCAGCAAGCTAACGTTACTGTCTCCAGGGCGGGATGAAACAGTCCCACTCTGGGATTGCTACTGTCCACACAGCGTGTACTATCATGTATCAATCAATATCAAGTGTATTAAGTAAAAGTTAGCCAGATAGCGTAAGGAAGAGCGTCAGTTTAAAGATGTGGAAACGAGGCGGTCGAAGCTCCGCTCTGGACCGGGCTCAGGCACTGCTGTCCGCCAAGAGGACCAGCGGAGGGGGCGCTGAGTCCGTGCCGGAGCCTGCAGCCACAACACGGGGACATGCGGTGAGTTTCAAGCTTGTTTCAATGAATTACTATGATAGATGCTGTGACACACGTGAGTAACAGCAGAAACGTGTCTTTTCTTCCTCTCCTTCTCTTAAGGGTGCTGTGGGTGGGTCTGTGAAAACCAGGTCTGCTCCCCCAAATACACACACTTTAATCTCAGATCTGAGTGACCTGTCCTCAGTCAGCTCTGCCCCTGAGCATGGAGCGGACGCCGCGGGCTCTGCTGCTGCTGGGAAGACCCGGGGGGATTCTACTGAGGTAAACAACCCTGCTGTATCGCTCAGGACACTTCCACAGTGGGATGTTCCTAAATCCACTCTCTGTGATTCTGCCTGAGCCCTCCTTGTTGTTGTCCTGCCAGGATCTCAGACCTCAGAGCTCCCTGGGTGGAGGACGGAGCAGGTTCTTGAAGAAGGCTCCACCACCTGCAATCAACAGCAGCTACTCGCCTGTCAGCAAGAGCCAAATGCAGCAGGAGCCTGAACCCAGGTACAGTTCAATGTGTGCAGGAGTTCACACTCTTTTTAAGAAATAATTTCCCAGGACATTTTCTTGACAATTCTGGATAGTACTTGCTCACAAATGGTCATATAATTTACCAGTAGGCCTAGTATTGGCACATTTAATCCCAGTTTTATTTCTCCTTCATCAAGTGTCTCAGGACAGTTTTCCTCTAACCATAACATCAATGACTCAACGCCAAAAAGATTTCTACACGTCCGTTCCACTCCTGCTGATTCAACTCAAAATATAATGTTCACCTCTGCTCCCTCTCACCCCCTCTGGTCAGGTATGTGTCATCTTCCCAGCGAGGCTCCCAGAATGCTGCTTTGAGTAGACTGGCTCAAATTGAGAGCCGCATCCGCAGCCGCAAGCAGGCCGGACAGGGGCTAAAACCGGCTGAGAATCAAACCTCAGACATGGGGATTCCACCACCGCCGGCAGCCCAGTCCCTGGAGGCCTCTGTGCAGCTCTCAGCAGCTCAGTCCAGCAGTGACCAGAGCCTGAAGGGGAAAGTTTTCCCCAAGAATAACACAACAAAGGCTGTGAATAATAGTAATGCTGCTGCTGCTGCTGCTAGGTCCCATCAAGGCCCAGATGTTGGTGTTAGGTCCAGGTCCAGAGCTGCTGATGCTGTAGTCCCTTCGGCAGGTTCGGAGACAAAGTCAGTGAGAGTAGTGAGTGGTGTGAGTCTGGAAAGTGATGAAGAGGACATGAGGAAACTGCTTGGAGAGTCATTGGATTCAATAGACAACAGCTTCTTAATACCTGGGAGACCAGCGGACAAGGTACCTTTTATCTTTGAACCTGGGCTGTTGATAATTTATTTCCACTCCCTTTATTTACAGTCTTATGCCATTTTCAGTACGTGTCTTAGCTATGCATGTTATGTATTGTTATTTTAGGATAGGTTGGGCTAATGCCTAATCAGTTCAAATGGCAATGGTTCTATACATGTTCTAGGACAGTTTTTCAAACTTTCAAACAGTTTCTGATTCAGACAAAACTTGACTGTAACAAAGCAACGGAAATTTGTCTTTAATGTGGCTCACAAAACAGTACACACATATTAAGACTTTTTGCCTATTTTTGTATGTCCACATATAAAACCGTGTTGATGGGACATTCTGAGCTTTAGCTCTGTCAAAATATACTAATATTTTAAAATATGTATCACAAACGCCCCAATTTGTCACGGCACTACAGTTCCCATCATGCCTCAGGCGAGGCAAAGCGCAGTCATGGTCATAGTCATGGAGTCAGTACCGGCATCCCTGTTCCATACTACATACTAATTGTATACAGAATGTATTATGTACTACGTTTCATACCATTTTTGAAACGATGTACACCGGAAATGATACAGAACATGTGCTAACGCATGTCAGTCACTACGACTTTGGACTGGCAGTGTCAGTTAAGCTTCACAAAGAGACATTAAAATTAAAGAAGGGGGGGAAATAAACAAGATTAAATAATGGGAAAAATAACAATAAAAGGGTGGGGGAAAATAAAGAAAGGGAAAAAAATGATACAAATAAACCTAAATATACATAAAAATGTATGTTGATTAATCATATTAATTTAGTAATGTATTGTGTCCAGTCCACTACATGTATGTGAGTGTTAGGTTAACCAGTCATCAGAAACCATATCATGTGGTGTGTTGTATAAATAGGTTTATGAGAGGGGTCTTCCATGCCCATTAGAAGTATGTTTTTAAGGTCTGCATGAAATATATATAATATAGCTCATCTTTCCTTTTACGACAGCCTGTAATCTTTTATGGGAGAGGGTGTTCAAAATCTCTCTGTACTAAAGGGTACCACTTGGCAAGGAGTCTTTGATCCAGTCGTGCATTTCCAAGCTATTAAAACTGTGTCTGTTCTGGTTAACTGAGTTATGATGAAAGGGCATAATACTTTATTGTTACAGTTCTACTTACACAATATATAGAATAGAAATGTATGTATAGGTATATACTGTATATACAAGTGAAAATGTAAATATAAATATAATAAGTGCCTATGTACCTTAAAGTAATTAAATATATACACAATATATGCTAATACATATATATATATTCCATGAATCAACCTGGAGGATTAATATACCAGTTTAACCTAAAGGAAGTAGAGACAGAAATATGAACTTGGAGGTTGCATGTATCACATCAAATGAGACTCACAAACTCAGTGTTTTAACACGGTGGTTGTTAACAATGCAAAAACATGTATGCATCTGCAAGTATTGAAACGTTTTCTCGAGGCCTTAGAATGTGTTAAAAAGTATTACATTTAATCTACTAAAGACATAAATATTTTCTCTTGCCTGCTGTAGGCAGTAATGTGATGTGCAGAATGGTTTTTTGTGAGCTGTTGGGAGATGTTACACAGTGAAAAGAAGATTGTTGAGACAGTGGATTGTGCTGCAGGAGGCTAAAATATAATGAACTTAAATGAATTATACATTTTTCATTGGTTAATCCATCCATCCATTGTCTGCTGCTTAACTGGGTCTAGGCCACGTTGATTGTTTTAAATTATTGTTATATACTGCTGGTAAGTACTGATAATGAATCATTCTTGGCCATATCGTCCCTGTTTTTCCAACGCTCTTCCAAACTTTGGCCGGTATAATCATAAAACAGGTATTACATTGCATTCAATGTGGTTTTAAAGGGTCTTAATATCTTAACCCTGCAGAATCTCTGTGGCTGACAGTTCTTTCAGTTCAAAACAATACTATACTTCTCTCTTACAGATGTTGAGCAAAAGCCATTGGAAGGTCCACGCCACACCTTCTCCCGCCGCTGTCCCTCCCTCATCATCCTCCAATACAGCTCCACCCCGCTCCCCTGCCTCTCCTTCTCACCGCAGCTCTCCTTTTCGATTCACCGGTCAGGCTCAGGCTCACTTCAGCCCCTCTGTGCTCTCCCCGTCCCCCTCTCCTCCCCGTGTCTCCCCTTCCCCTCTGGGGAGACTGCACTCCCCTCACAGGGCGCAGAGTCCACCGCGGTCCCTCTCCTCTATGTCAGGCCGCAGTGAGGTGCTCTCTCTGGAGGAGCTCTTCCCTGTTGGGCCTGGCTCTGAAGACCCCCACAGTGAGAGGAGCACAGTGTCCTCTGAAGGTGAAAGAAATTCTCAGGGCATAAAAAACATCAGGAAAGATGGCAGTTAGTGTTGTAGCTGCTAAGAAGCCAATAGGACTTAAAATCAGCAGTGTATTCCAGTTCTAACAATGTCTCAGAGTTCTTATTTTAATGATTTACTGATTACAAAATGCTTAGCCTCTCATTTTGCATACAGGAGATGAAACGTGGTGTTTTTGTTCATTCACCATGTTTTATTCTTTTCTCCTTACGTCATGCATCCTAGATGGACAACAAGGTACATGAATCTTCCCTCTGTAGAGTTTGAATGAATAACATAATAACTTAATTTTTATAGCACTCGTGTATCTAAACAAGGTTGCAAAATGCTTGACAAAATACATAAGAATAAAACAAAAATATACGTAACCATAAATACAGTTAAAATGTGAGAATAAAAGAAAATAAAACAACACAGCACCAACACCAACATTTGAAAGCCATGCATCACTAAGGCTTTCCTGTAAAGATATGTTTTAAGCAAAGATTTTACAGCAAGTGATCCTCGGGCAGCAAATTCCAGAGCCTAGGGCCCCTGAGGGTAAAAGCCTGGTCACGCTTAGTCTCCAGCCTTGACCTAGGGACAGTTAACAGGTACAACCATGAGTGTGTGAAGTCAAGAGGTTCGTATTTTAACTAGAGGCTAGACCATGTTGGGTCTTAAAAAAATCAATCTTGAACCTAACTGGCAACAGGTGGAGGGAGGCAAGAATTAGAGAATTTGAGAAATATGTGACCTAAAATTGCTGCTCTGTTATCTTGTGTTATTGCAGACTTCAAGATAAATGTGATGACATTAGACGACCTTGGATTTACAGAGGAAACACCTGTAAAGGAGGTTGGTAATGACAGCATTAAGTACGGTGAATAATGCTATTTGCATGTGTACTATATTGCAATGCTTAAGTAATTCAAACTTAAAGGAAGGTTATTTTTTGTGTCCATTATGAAACAATTTGAGAGATTTGTTTAAAGCTGCTTTGCCTGTTATTTTGGCTGTACACACAGCACTGAAATATTAACACCTTCTAAGTCAATACAGCAAATCTGTTAGACACAGAGCAGCATTGGCATTCACTTGGAGTTGTGTTTGTGTCAGCCTGACAAATGTAAGTCTGGTATTCACTCACTTCTAGCTCTGTTTTGGTCCCTGTCAACTCCCAAGAAAAATGTCTGTCTATAGCTGCTAAATGCTCCACTATGTTCACCTGCTAGTGCAGAAAGTGGTGCACAGTGGGATATTAGAGCTTTTCTGCTGAAAACAGCTGCCTGCTGCCGCTGGAAACAGAGGTGATGGGAGCCTGAGCTATAACAGTAAAGTTGAGGGGCATAAAACCAAAACAATGATCTGAAAGATGCCAAAAAGCTCTTCAGAGCTGCTGAAGGGAACTGCAGACAGTTCAAAACAACGTCAGACATCTTTCACATTACACTTCATGCTCTGACCCATTGTTAAAATAAAAATATTGATTAGTGCAGCTTTAAGTAATGATCTAAAAATGAACATACCTAAAAAGTCTGTTACAATCTTCTGCACTGAAAAAACTGCACACACATAGCTAATGTTACGTTGATGTTTGAGAAACAAACGCCAGCCAAAGTGGTTAAACAGAACTTGTTAAAGACCTAGATGTTCGCTTATGTCCGTGCTCTGTGCTCTCACATTGCACACACATTGTAAATTGATGAGTAAAATGTATGAATAATTGATGAGAATGATGGCTAAACCTACACAAACGTATAAAAATAATTTAGTGGATTCCTCTTTGCTAAAACGAGTCTGAATTCCATCCAAACAACAGAAAGCATTTCATTGAGCCACCTCCTACAACATGGGGACGATGGACACTCACTGCTTTTGATGGGAGAGAAGGGCCCTTGTCTTGTCAGAACGACCAAATATTGCCAAATTACGGGCACACCAGAAATGATCTAGTATTAGACAGTGCCAGAATAAGTGTGATCATTTGGCGGTACCATATCTGTCGCACAGGGGAGAAACTGAGCCAAATATCTGACTAAGTTTAGCTTTGGAGTAATGCAGTGGGTGTCGGGCTTTAAACTGAATGAATCGATATCTAGTTTTGACAGAACAGCTCCATATAGCAGACAGTTCCTCCTCCCATAATTCATCTGTCACAGGAACACCCAAGCTTCCCTGAGATGACTGGCATCTACTGGTACCATAAAGGTGTGACAAAGTAGGAGATCAAATTTTGAGAGTTTTGCTGTAAGAGAAGTTAACTCTTTGGTTTAGTTGTATACTCTGGGATACACTCCAGTACGAAATGCCTGCATTGAAGGTAGCGGTAACAATGTGGTCGAGGAAAGCGATATTTGGCTTGGAGCTGAAAAAATGAGGCAAATGTATTATCTCTGTAAAGATCTCCAGTATAGCACACTCCCCTCTGAGGCAGTGTACTTTGGATTTTCGTGTGCAATGAGGAAACCAAAAGCCATTTTTAGATTTGAAAAAAAAAAACAACAGAAAACAAAAATAAAACCAACCTGTTTTAAATTTTTCATTTTGAAAATAAAATTGTCATTGACAGCAGAAGGATTGCGCTAGTCAGTCTCATACATTTGCTGGTTGAAAAATGAATGACAGTAAAATTGAGCTTTTTCTCTTGTTGCTGGGGATCTTGTTGAATCCCCTGAAGGACTCCTTAGTCTGATGTGTTTACCTTCTTCCTGCTGCCTAAACAGAGAGGAGTCAGCGCCCCTGTTCCTGGACCCCCAAACAGACATCAGCTGCCAAGATTGAAGGAGAAAGAGGAGGAACAGCAGCTGAAGGAGGAGGACCTGCTGGACTACCAAAGTGACTTTGAGAGCGAGAGCAGGACAGAGCCAAATTACAGCACCAGCCAGGTTTCAGAGGACTTGCAAGGACATGGAGATGGAGAGGAGGAGGTGTCGGAAGTCAGAGAGCAGGCTTCTGATTTAGACGTGTCCCGTGGGAGGACAGAAGATGATTACTCGAGCGCTTTCTCAGACACAGGACGCTCCTACACCTCACAGACTTCAGATCACAGCCAAACACTCAGCAGAAACAGGGGCTCCAGATCCTCCAGATCCTCGGTCTCACATGGCAGCCGGACCTCATCTCACCAGTCGAGGAGGCGTGCTTCAACTAGAAAGGTTTTAAAAGAGGCAGCAGTACAGACTCAGTCTAATCCACTGGTTCACACATGGCCCGGTTAGTCTGCCACACATTTAACATATGGTAGTGCCACTAATCATCACTATCACTGTTTCTTCACAGTAGTCATCATGTTCAGCTCAGTATTTGTGTTTCTTATCTCTGGCTCCCCTCCCTCAGGTATGGCTCCTGTGGGTCCAGCAGTGGGTATGACCTACCTGGATCCCTCCCCAGTGCTCACTCATACTCTCAGTGCAGAAATGGTGGAAGGTAAGACCCAATTAAACAGAACGCAACACAACCAACCATACAACATAAATACACGTAGAAGACTTGTAAATATTAAAAAACCTGCTCCTGCATCCAGGTGGTAACTAAAATCATGGTTCACAGGCATCATGGAAAACCTGGAAATTTAGAGACTAATTTTCAAGTTATGGAAACACATGGAAATGGATTGAAATGACAAAATATCCTGGAAATAATTGATGTCCTGGAAATGTATTTCAGCCCCTTACTTAGATTGCCTACTTAAACCTCATTGTAAACTGTAAAAACAAAGCAAGCTAACACACAGTGTCCCATCAATGCTGACCATCTATGAGGCCTACTGCTAAATTGTTTGACTGTTTGTGAGCAATGCTGTCCTGTAGATTTTATTTTTTCATTCCTGGAAAATGTCCTGGAAGGGTCCTGGAATATGATTTCTTAATAAGAGTTGGAACCCTGTGTTAGAAAACCTTTGGACTGACATACAGTGACTGATACTAGCTGTTGGTCATAGCTAACAGGAACTTTGTGTCCAAAATCACACCATGATTGATGACTGTTTAGGGATTAAAGGAATATTTCAACATGTTGGGAAATACACTGTTTTACTGACAGATGAGGAGATTAACTAACTTAACCCTTTTATGCTAAATATAACAGGAGAGCTAGGAGGTGGTTAGCTTAATTTAACATCTAGACTTTTGGCAAGACTCCAGGAAATCTCTGCCTGTGTCACAGAAATAGTATGCATTAAACATTAAACAGGTTTTTGAAACGCAGCTTTGACTCCTTTCCCATTGTCTGTAGATGAGTTTGCCTTTCTGCATTTTTTTTACTGATGTGTCACATTCAACGTCACAGCGCACAGAAACAGGGCTAGTAAACAGCAGAAAGCAGTATTTCTTACTTGTCTTGGCCTGTGAGCAATGCCTCTGTCACTCAGCATTTTCAGTATGTTGTTGATATATGGCACAGTGCCAGTGGTTTAGCAAACCGGAGAAAGTTCCAGTGACCTGTCTCCTTGTTTCTTCTTCCAGTCCAATCAGACTCGCTCACCTTGCTGTCCGCCGTTGCACGTTGTTCCCATAGACTGCAAAAAAACCAATAATGTAGAACAACGCGTCATAGCATTGAGCCAGAAAGGGGGGAGAGTGTGAATGCTGATTGTGTGAAAGGAGTTTTACAGGTGGATTGTGTTACCTTTGGACAGAGCCAGACTACAGCCCTCCACAGACCAAACAGTCCAGCCCTAGCCTGACCCGAGACCATCACCAGTTAGGCTCTCTCTGATACATGCAAAAACACACACAGACTATGGGCACAATGAAAGGACACAAGTTAAAAAGTGCTCTGTGATGCTCACGCTCACTAATACACACACAAATACACACACATACACTATGGAGAAAAGGAAAGGAGGGAAGTTAAATGAGCTCGAGTCCAACCAGAGCCTGGTCTATAGATAAAAGAAGGCCCGAGCCCAGCCCTAAACGACTCAGCATGTTGGGGCTGTTTCACCATATACAGCCTTCATGCTAAGCTAAACAAACTATCTCCTGGCTTTAGCTACATAGTTACAGATTTGAAGGTACTATCGGTCTTCCTTATTTCACCATATTCTTCCTGTAATAGAGACTGTATTTTCCATAAACCCAGTTTATGTGTTTTGTGCTTGGGAGTGCTAAAGCCATCGTACTGATTCTTCTGTGTGTGTGTGTGTGTGTGTGTGTGTGTGTGTGTGTGTGTGTGTGTGTGTGTGTGTGTGTGTGTGTGTGTGTGTGTGTGTGTGTGTGTGTGTGTGTGTGTGTGTGTGTGTGTGTGTGTGTGTGTGTGTGTGTGTGTGTGTGTGTGTGTGTTTGTCCTCAGCTCTCAGCACCTTCAACCCAGCTGTATTTGCACTCAATGAACTGCTGAAGCAGCAACTCGCCATGACGAGGCGGTTCATTGAAAGCAGCCGCCATCTTCATTCCAGCCTGGTAAAGAGCCTGGAACCACCAAACTACAGATACACCACGCTGGAGGACACCAAGGAGGTAAAGCATGCTTACACACACCGTCACACACACACACACACAGTCACAAACCTACAACTGAGCTTTTCCTTTGACTCAACAGGAGGGAGTTGTCTGTCATGAGACATGTGAAATGAACACAAACCAGCCATCCTTTAAATTGCTATTACATTCCATACTGCATTATCAAGATGACACTGTTCTCAAACATGTAGATAATTCACACACACATTAAGTTTGTGTTCAACATGTCTTCATTCTTTCCACAGTACATTCGCAAGCACAGAGCTCCCAAACTGACAATGGAGGAAGCCTTAGAGGAGGCGCTGCAGGAGCAAAGACTACCGACACAGACCACTGATTGTCCTCCATTACTGAACCAGCCACGTGCTTATTAAAATATGTCATTATTTTTATATTGTGGTTGTTGTTTATCAATTGAATGTACGCCATGTTGATTTGAATGCTTTTGTAAAAGTGTAAACATGACATACCTTCAGTTTAAACGAACAATATGTAATAACTGACGCTGCAGAGGTCTCTCACATCAATAACAAAAGACTACGTTTGATGACGTTGTGGGAAGCAGCGTGGGATCATGGGAGTTGTTGTCTTACCAACACTATTGTCACTGCAGTCAGCTTCTCCTGGTTAGAAATCCTTCAGTGTTCATTGTGACGGAGCCAGATTATCAACAGAGGTCTCCTCCGCTCCCAAAAAAGGACCTGCTGACAAGAACTGGTAAAAACACTAAATAAAGCAGTTCCACCTTAAGAATCAGTGTTTCTCTGATGCTGTTTGGTGGACAAAGGGTGTTAGTTCAGCTTGTTTCTCTGATAACTTAAGATCCAAACGTCTGATGACTGAAGAAGAATCATAAAAATGTGGCCTGAAACTGGATAAAAAGTCAATTTATGACAGACAGCCACAACACATACGCAAAGAGGCTTGACAGGTGACCAGTGAAACGCAGCATTACCTGAATAAAATGACTACTGAATTTGGGATAATGGTACACAACTTAACTACATATAGAACATATAACTACATATATGGTGTTTATAGACATTTTAATGTGGAAATGTTGCATATTATAGTTTTAGGATTAAAAAAATGACGGTGTGTGAATTGGATGGTTTTGTACCTTCATTGTGTGATTTGACTGAGACGCCCTCATCCTTGCTGAAACAGTATAAAGCACCAACACTGTCACTTGAACTAATGACTGAATGAAACTGTATGTCGTGACTGTTGGTTGTAATGCACCACTTAATAATTATATTTCTGTGTAGTTTCTGAAACTGTCTTTGAAATCAACTTCTGCATCACAGTATAAAAGATCTAGTGTTTATCTCTATTTATTGTTTGACTAACATTCCCTCACTGTACAACCCTACATTGTTCCACTGGAGTTCATTCCTGAATAAAGACACCTGCAACTGAAGTAACAAAATGTTTATTTAAAAAATAAGACGTACAGTATGTATAGTCATACCAGATATTTCCAGTCTTCATCACCAACAGTAAGTTGAAATGTTCTAATGATAAGTGCAGGATTTGACATGATCTAAAGACAAACTGATGTCAGGATCCAGGAACGTTTATTAGTGATGTGGGGTTGTTGAAGGCACAGATTCAGGTCGTAGTGTGAGGCGTCAGTAGGGGTCGTTGAAAGGGTAGTGAGGATGTCCTGCATCCCTGGGAACGCGCTTTCCTTCCACCTGCAACATCCACAGAGTTGATACACTTCTCTCTGCTCTTCAGTAACATGGCCATGTTCACTTGTTAGAGGGGAAATTAGGGCATTTTTCAACCTGGACCTTATTTTCCCATGTTTTTGTGTCAAATAATAATGTTTTTATTTTCCCTGGACCACTGGACATCCTTAACTCTGAGCACCACCAGTCAGGACCACTACCAGTCTCCTGAACCTTGCAGCATTACAGCTGGCTGTACCCTCCACTGCCTGTCCTCGCTCTCTCCTCGGCCACTCTTCACTTTGTAGGAGCTCTTCATCCTCATATTCGAGCTCAAATAATTACAGGCAGCCATCCACATTGTTGAAATTAGCTAAATATTCAGCCATGACATTGAAAATCTTTTACACAACACTAAAGTATGCTTTCTCTGTACAACACAACAGACTCTTCCCTACCAGCAGACTCAGTAAGACCCACAGCAGATCAAGTGAAGGGAACAAAACATTTTTCATTCCTCTGTGGGTTGTGCTGTCAAACACTTGTCAGTGGCAAGAACGAGCACTATTAATGGATGCACATTAATGGTACACAATTGGTCGTAAGGATTGCGTTGTAGTCCGTTTCATGGCTCCAGGCTGCAGCGCTTTCATTCAATACTGGACCAAATTCAGGGACAGTGGCTTAGACACAAAAACATAGCAACATACGGTGTAGGTCAAAGAATACCAAAATGACCCATTAAACTTGGCAGGCTTCAAAGGCACTTCTGGTGCCTTCTCATTACACACAGAAAACTGCTTTTGCTATTCACCAAACTGCCTGAGAAAATCTTTCAGGACTGACTGAATATTTGTAAGTTAAAACTTCCAATATCTGACATTTTGTGCCAATATCCTGGGCCTTTAAATTTGACTTTTGCAGGACAAAAAAAGAAGCTTCACCTCTATTAAAATCATACTTAGACCTATCAGGACAATGAGGACACTTGCTGTATTATGATCACAGGCTCCTATAGATTAGCTCTCTAAACTGAGCTACATAGGACATTAAGTTTCCCAGTAGACTGGAAAATTCAAATATAGGACTTTTTATAGCAACCCTTAAGAGATACAACACATAAAGCCTACTCACCTCTATCATTGGTACAATGTAGCGCCAGCCTTTGTTCAGGGCTGTAATGCTTTTCATTTCCTCTGCTTCAAGGGTAAAGTCAAACACCTGCCAACAAACACAATTAAATCAACCGCTCACAACCCACACAACGTCCTCTGCAAATGAAAGTTAGAGTTGTGCCAAAAAACAAGCACAGCTTGTAAATAAAACTTTTTTGTAGCTTTTAAGTACTTTAAGGCAAAAAAGTGAACCTTAATGAGATATTATAAAAAGGATGTCTCAAAAAAATGAAATAAACAAAACTAGCCTCATAGTTTGGAAATGAATGAAAATGTTAGCCCACCTGAATGTTCTCTTTGATGCGGGACTCTGTCACACTCTTGGGGATTGTTACCACTCCTCGTTGTGTCTGCCACCTGCAAATACAACAAACTTGAAATGTACGCTCCCTGGAGAGATCTTTTACCATACCAGGTGCTTATTTTAGCCCCACGGCTACAAACCACGTACACCTGACCATGCTGTAAACAGCTTTTCAAAGCATGCCACTGGCTCTCGTTTAGCTAGAGTTTAATAGAGCTTGACTGATGCAGCAATAATGTGCCCTTCAACACTACACCATCATTTGGAAAATAATTAGCAGTACATGTACACATGATTTTTGCTACTTATGCCACGCTGGCATGTTTGCATTATCAGCTCTATGCTGTATTTGCTGCCACTGTTGTGTGCACAGCTTGTTGCATTGCCCTCAACTGGCCAAAAAAGTTATTGCAAATCACTTTATGATCCACAGCACACTTTCATTTGCTGTTTATAAACAGACCACTGCATGTCATTTTCCATCTCCCTTGCAAGTATTCTGTGGTTGTCTCCAATAATGACTTTAGAACTTTAATGCAACATGGAATTAATTTAGAAAGACTCAATATACTAACAAACCTTTTAAATGTAGATGTGGAAATGTGAAAATACAAATGTGTACATTATGTGCTACTGTGCTGTATTTACACATGGTTTTGCAACCTGTATTCTGACACGTTATCCAGATAAGGAAATACATGTTAATAATTCAAGGTGTAAATGCGTTGAATGTGATCAGTCCTGCCTGACCTCATCCGCTTGCAGTCTGGCTCAGCTGTGTGTGGCTCTAGATAGGTATAAACAATCCGTACAACATGCTGGCATCCATCCTGATACACATATTTCTTTCTAGTGAACAGGAAATATAGGTTGTTGTTCAAATTTAGATAGCGAGCACGTGAGAAAACTGAAAAAGACATGCCTCTAATTTCTTCTTTTGTCTTCGGTGAAGCACAGTAAGAAATCACGGTGTGAGTGACGGTGTTTGTTGCCATCTGTTAATAAGGCATATTGTTTATCTAGTCACAGATATGCTGGTCCTGCAACACGCCGGGACAAACTTAAACAAGATAAGGAGTAGCTTATTAACATTTGCAGAATTTACAAGGAGGGACAAGTAATTAAGAATCTGTTGTTTTTTTGGGGAGTCTGGGGCTGATTGGCCACCACTCAAATGACTTGCACAGGTTTTGTTCTGGAGGACAGAGAAATAAGAATGCAAAGGCATGATCGGATTACTTATTATCCAAATTCTGTGTACAGATTGCATTTTAATAGCAGGTGTAGATGAAGTGTTAGTAAAGGAGATGGGATCCGTATTTTGTTACCTACATGTGAAAACCTAAAAGGATTAAATTAAATTTAAGCGTTTATCGTTTTGAATTTGAAAACTTGAAGCTTTTTTTTTTTTTTTAAATGAAATCTTATGTAAGCCAGTATGTTCTGCACTGTGAACAATCTGATCAGTTAATTCAGGAGTGAATTCACCTCAGGATAATCTGAGCAGGAGACTTTTTATATTTCTCTGCGAGGGCGGCGATCACAGGCTCCTGAAGCAGAACAGGTTCATCTGGATGTTTCCAGGCCCGGTCCGGAGAGCCCAGAGGGCTGTAGGCCGTCATCACCAGGCCGCGGTCCCGACAGTGGGCCAGCAGCTCTACCTGGGCCAGGTAGGGGTGGCCCTCTACCTGCCCAACCAAAACACAGAGATACCAGGGTGATCCGTAGCTTGAGGCATGCTTCAGTGTGCTCACACTTAACCTGTTTGGAGCAATTAAAGTGGACCTTTTCCTCATCACAAAGAGCCTGTACCTGTAGAACAGTGGGTTTGATGCTGGCGACTGACAGGACGTCGTCAATCTGCCGACTGTTGAAGTTGGAAAGGCCGATGGATCTGACGAGGCCCTTCTCCACCAACTTCTCCATGGCAGCCCAGGTCAGCTTGTAGTCTATGTCGTCATACAGCAGGGTGCCATCCTCCTTTTTGGGGAAAGGATCGTCCCCTTGTCTAGGATATAGAAAGAGGGAGCCACGTTTTAAAGAAAGATTAAAAGCAACCAGGGACCGACTGAGGCAAAAAAGTAAAAACTGTAGTTTTTCTGTTCATTTGCCTCCTTAAAATATGGCCTCAGTTTAAAGTCTACGTAGAACAAGTTGGGAGATAAATGCAGTTTCATAACTTAAAGTCTTTTATATTCAACAATTTATTCCTTGCTATCCCACAGTGTCAAAACATGTTACTACATCGTTATCTCAGGATAACAAATGTGTTTTCCTCTGACTGCACATTAATTAGCTCGTTATCTGTTTTTTTCTGGAGATAATGAGTTAATTATCTAATTATCAGACGTATTAGGTTGAGCTCACTGGAAGGCGTAGGGCCAGTGGATGAGGTAGAGGTCCAGGTACTCCAGCTTCAGGTCCTTCAGGGTCTTCAGGAGGGCCGGCTCCACGTCCTCTGGGTGATGTCGGGTGTTCCACAGCTTGGATGTTATGAACACGTCTTCTCGTCTCAGGGCCTGGTGCACAGACAATTAAGTGTCTTGAAATTTCAGGACAATAGAGACAACCAAGACCAGGCTCGATAGAGAAATCTTACTGAACATGATATTGTTATTCTGCATTATGGAACAGTCTCAAGTTTCTAATTCTTTTATGTTTTACCTTGCCGGGGCCGAGCGTGTCCTGCAGGGCTTCTCCAATCTCGACCTCGTTGCCATAGATGGTTGCACAGTCGATGTGGCGATACCCAGCCTCCAAGGCCCAAACAACTGCTTGCTTCACCTGTGACAGTGGCCGAATAAGACAGCTTATAGACCATTTATGCTATCATGCTGACATCAACTGGCAAGGTGTTGAACTGGCTACACACCATATACAGTTCATATGGCAACGTTAGCATTCCTTTATAGTCCTGACTCTAACATGCACTCTCTTTTCTGCTGTTTTGGTCTTTTTAGCTATTAAAGGTTCCACTATGTTCACCTGTTAGTGGCTAAGACTGAACCAAACCGTAAGTTTCAAAGGGCTAAAATGCTCCGTAGAGCCGATAGGAGTCTAGTGATAGTTCTCTTCGGGCTCATCAGTACTTTTCACACATTTCATTTGATTCATTGCTAATATAAAAATACTGATTAGTGCAGCTTTAACGTCTGAAACTGCAGACATATATCTGCATCTGGACAGAGGATATGGGAACTGGAACTGTATGGGCAGAAACAGAAAGCAATACACAATATTACCTGTTTTCTGACATCATCTATAAGGAGAGAAATCATATCAAAAGGAGCCTGTTTTTCAGACAGGAGATTGGTGCATCCCCTACCTTTCCTGGCTCACTCTTCCATGTTCCCAGTCCAAGGAGGGGCATCTTCCGCCCTGTGTTGAGAACTGCAAAGTCATTCATGCCTCTCAGAAGCACCTTAAAAGGACAAGAAGAGTGTAATTCAGTCAGTGAGGGGAGCTGCTTGGCTTACTGGAAAGCTCACTTAAAGCTGCAGTAGCAAGAATTGTATGCCAAAATACAGCTCTTATTATATTATCTATATGAAGCCATTTAGATATATTTATTTACCACTGTAGCACAAACTGTAACAGAACTGCAAAAAGCAAACAGAGGCAAAGACTTTCATACTATTACTGTGGCTGAAGGAGTAACCGACGGTAAAGTAAATACAGGATGAGAAAGTTCTACATAATATCGGCAGACACCTAAATTGCGATACAGATATGCGATAATATTGTCCCAGCCCTAATTGTGGTGCTCTTTTTAAACAGCAGAGAAAGCAGTCTATTTTTGACTTTGCTCGTTTGACGTCCTATGTCGCTTGTGTCAGTATCTGTATCAATCAAAGACATCACTGTCACTTTTACAAAGATAAGGAAATATGCATTGTTTTGCACAGCTTTAGGATTATAAGAGAAAATATAGTTTGTAGATTTTTGTTTGAGAATCTTTTTCTAATCTCATTCAATCAATTGTGAACCCAGTATCGTATATTTCCATCCAATAGTGAGTTGAGTGTGTCGTTATATCCCTAATGTGGGACAAACAGAACTAGAACTAGCTAGAGCAGGGGTCTTCAAGGTTTTTCATGCCAAGGACCCCATAGCTGACAGAGAGGCCGAGCAGGGACCACCTACTACATACATATTGTACATGTACAATATTATTCTTTTATTTACGACTTACCTAATAATACTTTTGATTCATGTTAATGTTAATATTTCAGACAATTGAATTTTTGTCTCAACCAAAACCCCCTGTTGAAGACTCAGGAGCCAGAGAACCTCAAGCACACTAGATAACAAACACAGACAGACACTACAGAAAACACTGTACTGCATGCTGACGCTGTGAGTGGGGGTAAATAGGAAGGGTATGACGCACTGAAGGAAAAGGAGGAAGGAGTTACAGCACTGTGGAGAAATATTATGCAACAATTCATATCTCTATAGTTGTTTAACAACCACTACTTTAGCATCAAACTGCAGCTAAATTTAAAGTTTCAAAGACGCAGCGAGACCAGACAGACCAGAAGAGAAATTTCTCCAACTGCTGAGTCAATGTTTAACCTTCAGAGCTACAACAGGAGACAGCTGCATGAATGCAACAACATCCACTAGCTACATAATGTGGAAATGTTAAAGTGTGGGCACTTTCCCCCATTCTTAAGATGCACAGAATCTTTTGCATTAACCCACTCCATTCTAGCTTGTGTGATAAAATATTCCTCTTTTTGCAAAACAGTGTACGCCTGCTGACTTTTCCAAGGAAGAGAAAGAAGTGCTGACTCGCATTTCCCTCAAAGGTCACCAGACTCAGCTGTTTGAAATAGATGTAACCTCACAACTCACTCTAAATAGGTGATGGAATAACTGTATTAAGAAATCATTGCATATGGCAACAAGCTGAAAACTCTCACCATACTCTACAACAAAATCTAACTTTTCACAACTAAAGTAAAAGTGATTTTAATCATTGAAAAAAACAGAATTTGAGGTTTCCTGTCCAGACAATATTCAGAGAAAATCATTCATGCTTTAATCTCCAGCAGGATGGACTATTTCAGACAACTTCAGCACATTCAGAAATCTGCTGCCCTGGCACAAAGCAGAACAACTTACCACAAATCACACAATACATTTCTGACCTGGTTATGGAAAATAAACCTAGCAGATCCCTTAGATCTTAGGGAATCAGTCAGCCAGTAGGACCACGAGTCAGAACCAATCACTGTACAGCTGCACAACTTTTGTCTGCATGTTGTGGTCAGACTCATTTTTCCATGTTATATCAGACTAACTTTGAGAGTCTTGAGGAAGTTCAAAACAATCAGTAATTCATATTTTTGTTTCAATTCACTGTTTCAACAGATTTACAGTCTTGGGGAGTAAAGGATTACATCCATTACAGTTACAGAAGGATTTGAGTTCCATTTAGTAAAAATTGGGATTATTTAACAGGATTACAATATTAAAATACATCAGTTTTCCTTTAAAGATACACTGAGCAAAGGACACATTCCATTGTTGGTCCCATTGTTCTGTTGTCTTACACACTGGCATCAATACTTCTTACTGACATTTATTTTCTCTTGTCTTTATTTACATGTTTGGTGTTAATCCAAAGTAACGGAGAGTAATCAAGTTACTTTAATATCGTGATACTTGGATTAGGTTACTAATTGTATCGGATTCCAGCTGTAGAGTAACCCTCCCAGCCCTGTTCCTCTGGCTGTGCTATATATTCTGATGTTGGTCTGATGGGAAGTGAAGCACCGGTGCTTTCTGACATTTTCCAGATCTTTCCAAAAATCTGTCAGCTGATTTCACGGACAGTCACGTGCCACAGCCACACCTCAGCAGCTGACCTCGAGCTCAGCAGCGCCTCAAAAGCTCGCGAACAACGTCCCCGTTATAGCCAACGTTAGCGAGCAGTGGGGGGGGGGGCAGTATTAGCCTGCTGGCGTTAGACGGTGTATAAGACAGAGCTAATAACCGTGTGCTCACTCCGTAGGTTCAATAGTCATCCATTCCCGAGCTCCAAACAACAGCTGCACATTCAAATCAAGTCAAAATCACAGCTAGCTAGCGTTAGCTTCTGCTGAAAACGACCCTCGACTCTGCGCCACTGTCCGCTTTCCCTTCAGCGTTCACTGTTAGCCAGTTTACCGGCGAACAGCTGCTTTAAGAGCCGCCTTCTGAATGACTGCATGATCGCTGCAGCTCAGTCGGAAAATGACACAACATTAGCCTGTCAGCCCCCCCTGCCTCAGCGGACAGCCTCCAACTTACTGTTTCAACACTTCAAAATCTGCGACTTCAAACAAGGAGCTGTTGTTGTGGTCCTCCCAGGCAGAGACGAGTGTGCAAGAGTGCTGTTTTCTGCCGAATGTTCAAAAACACCACCTCATTTTGGGGACATTTCCCTTTCCGGGATGATGATTGCTCTATTTCCGGTGAGAGGGTGTATGGCTGTGCGTCCTCACTGCTCCATTTGAACTGAATCTGTTCTGATGAACGTTCAGAGATAAATACCTGACCTCATATGAATGTAGAGTAGAATATACATCACTTCAGCTTGAATTTCCCTCGGGATAAATAAAGTTTCTATCTAATCTCTAATTTCACAAATACAACAGCTGAATTATTCTCTATATATACAGTTATGTCACATTTCAATGCTGCTCAGAGGTTAAGTAACAAAACTCAGGGAAACTTTTCACCTTGTGATTCTTAATAACTATTGCAACATCAATATGGAGACATGCTGTAATAATAATGTCAGTGTGCTTTTTTTCCCATATTGCTCACTCTTGCTGGTAGACTCCCTCAGGAATACTAGTTTATCTTATTCAGCGACAACATAGGAGTGGTTGGATGTCTGATGGTACTTCAGAGGAAGTTCTGCTGCTTCCCTGTGGCTGAAGAGGACTGCAGGGGCATAACTGAGCCTCATAGGAAGAGACAGAATTATGGGGCTTTTTATGTCTTCATTTTTCTTCAGTTGTATTTTTAATGAAGCACAGCAAAAGCAATGCAAAAGATAAGTACATATAACCACATAAATGTAAACCAGATTAACATACACAGCTGAAGTAGTGATGGGAATTCAGGCTCTTTTTAGGGATCCAGATCATTTGGCTCTGCTCATTAATAAGTCAGCTCTCTTGGCTCCCAAATGGCTCTTCATTTAGAACCATTTCTGGCTTTTATCATTCAGCCAAAGTGTTTTGGCCTGATTGGTGTGCACATATATCACTTGATGCTCAACCTTATCATTTGGAGAATACCGTAGTTTTACATTATGCTTGGTATAAAAACCTTCGATATGGTAATAGAAAGTGTTATGCGTGTATTGAATGTTTAACAGTATTTATATTGAACTATGTTTTGTATGTTGGCCTGTTGGTCTCACCATGTTTGGGTCTTAATGCTATTAAACATGTATTTAACAAATACATTATAGAACCATTCTTCTGTTCTGTCCTGGATTCATTTATTTTAAAAAGGAAAGAAAAAGACATGCAGGCAGGAGCTGGCTTCCATTGTTCACTTGGCTCACAGAGCCGACTCAAACAACACTTAACTACACTGAGTTGGAGCTGTAGATAATTAAGTCACACATCAGAGGAAGACAGCAGGATTTGAATTAAAGACAATGCTACATTTCCTATCCAGTGGCCTAAAATGTAAACGTATTTGATGGAGACAAATCTAGAGGGGAGAGACAATGTAGGGACACTCCTGGCCGGCAGGGGGCAGACTGCAGGACAAGATGCACCGCAAACCTGGTAGGAAAGCGGAAGTAAGATTGATATCAACAACCTGATCTCAGGCAAAACTTTAGTGTAGTTAAAACAGCTACACCTCATAAAGTTATTCTATCAGATACAAATGTCGTAACAAGAGCTGGTGTATTATGGAGGAAGCTTTTCACTGCGCGCCGTGGAAGTGGTTTGTGCTCGTGCTCAAACTCGGTGGCTAATTTAGCCATTTGAGCAGCTAAGTTACGTTAGCTAACAACTTTTTGTCAGCTGACTATAGTGGCTTTATTCGGACAGCCTCAGTGAGTCTGATATGCGCAGAGATAGCTCCGTGCTTCGTTTTACCAAGGTTGCGGGTGTAGCTGGACTGTCTGCTAGCTGTCGTTGGTAGTGTTTATGCGGCGCTGATAATAGAGCCCCGGTTTGCAATGCTCCTGCAGCTGCTCCCACCTGTCAACTAGCTGGCTCCTCTCCTCCTGTCTCCCGTCAGCCCAATGGCTCACTGCGGCTCCTCCGAACCGAGCGCAAAGGTACAGACACCTCGTCCGGACAGCATCATGTCGCCGCAGGGTAGCGTAGACCAGAGCATGAAGCCGGTACTGTTCGAGATCTTCGGCGAGTTATGGACCGTCCAGTCGCGGCTCGGCCAGGGAGTCTCGGCCTCGGTGTACCGGGTCAGCTCAGGCAGAGCCAGCACCGCCGCTGTCAAGGAGTTTCAGGCCGACACTCAGGGAGGGGACTACGGGTATCACAAGGAGAGGTCCGTGCTGGAAGACATCCAGGGGCATAAAAACATCGGTAACGACATTATTTTACTATAAAACGTGTGGGAGGCCAACAGTGTTACTTACTATCAGCCTTACTGTAACACATAGAAAGGAGCCTGTGGCTAATGCTTTCAAACCCTTATGTGTTTGTGTTCCAAGTTCCATTGTTAATCTTATCCATTTAATATGAACCTGCATGTCCTCAGTGGCATACACATTGTAGAATATTCTGTAAGACCATTTTAGTTATGGTCTGCTTTTTAATTCTGCATATGATCACGGTTCCCACGCATCCTGGAAAACCCTGAAACCTGGATATTTAAAGACTTGTTTTCCAGTCCCTGGAAACACCTGGAAATTGATTAAAATGACCAAATGTGCTGGAAATACTGTTGATGAATGAATGCTGTCCTGTCATATTGTAGCCCCTCACTCAGATCACCTGTGTTAACCTGGGTTAGAAGAAAACTGACCCCTACCTGCAATGAACCTACTTCATCATGAACCCTTCATCATTAAAAAAGAGGAATAAATCAGGAGTTAAATGTGTAAATTCTAGACCTACCAGTACATTTTATGACCATTTGTAAGCAAGTGCTGACCTGTATTGTCAAGAAAAGTCATTTAAAATGTCCTGGAAAGGTCCTGGAAATGATTTCTTAAAAAGAGTAGGAACCCTGATGATAGACAGGATCTCATTTCAGTAAACATCGTGTTTCTTTTTCAAAAAAGTACAGCGAATAGTCCATGTAATGGACTAGACAGATGTAATGACAGACAGAAAGTTTCACAGTGAATCTGCTCCTACTAGGGCCAAAGAGCGCACCCACCCATGTTCTTCATTACATAGAATATAATGTGTTGTATTCTAGTTTTAGATTGTTCCATATGTGCAGTCCACCAGGCTTTAAAACGTTTTACAGTGTTCTGCTTAATAATCATGGTGGGCAGTAGTTCACTCATAAAACCTATTGTAAAAACTCCATTCAAATACAGTGGATTGCGTGCATGCTAACAGTTCTGCGGTGGTCTTGATTATTTTCATGTGGAACATACGTGTACATCATGAGGATCATATTATGCTGTGGTTGAAGTTAAAGGTATTTGCCTAGCAGGAAGGTCCCTTTTCCTTTTTCTGAAATGTGAATGCAATGTGACAAGCTGTTTGTAATGACAGATTTGTTCTTCTCTCAGTGACGCTGTATGGGGTGTTCACCAACCACAGCTGTGTGGGTGTCACCACCCGCTGTCTTCTGCTGGAGCTCCTGGATGTCAGTGTGTCCGAGCTGTTGGTGAGAGGCACCAGTGGCACCCAGGGTGGTAGGTAAGTGACGTCGCTGCTTCTCATACACTATAACTCTCTGTTGCAAGTTGCAGAGAGGTGTTGGTTTCAGTGCAGCCTACCCTCATTCATATAAAATAATAGAAGTCAGTATAATGCAGTACACTTCAGAACAGCACCACGAACTGCAGCCTCTGAGAGTTAAACTGTTAAACTGTGTCACAGAGGTGGTGAACCTCTGTGAAACAGTTTTAACACGGGAGGATTATTTCAGGACTGTTGTATTAGACTACATTAGGTTAACCTAATGTACCTAAGTAACTAGCATCTGAGAGCACATTGTGTGGTAGCCTGTGGCCTGAAAATAGCTTAATGCTTAGAGCTTTTGCCTTCCACACAGAGGAACTGTGTGATCATGTGTTTTGTTGACAAAGAAAAAAGGTTTGTCTCAGTACTCTACATACGTGCCATCACAGAGGTAAATAACTCAAAACTATTGGAGAGTTACTGTATTTAGGAGAGCTTGAGCTTTCTGTGCAACTTCATAGATTGATATATTTTGGCAGACCCCAGCAGGGCCACTCCATGTGGCTTGTCCAGCACTGTGCCAGAGACATCCTGGAGGCTCTTGCCTTCCTTCACAGGGAAGGCTACGTCCACGCCGACCTGAAGCCACGCAACATCCTCTGGAGCGCTGACGACGAGTGCTTCAAGCTCATCGACTTCGGCCTCAGCTTCAAAGAGGGAAACCAGGTGGGTGTGTCTGGGGATTTGAAGATCATTAGAAGAAGAGCTGGGAATGTGTTTCTAACTCTCTCCCTGCCCCACCTCCTCCAGGATGTCAAGTACATCCAGACCGACGGGTATCGCGCTCCCGAGGCTGAGCTTCAGAATAGCCTTGCTCAGGCTGGGGTGGAGATGGACGGGGACTCGGGCTGCACAGCTGCCGTTGACATGTGGAGCCTGGGCATCATCCTGCTGGAGATGTTCTCAGGAATCAAACTCAAAGACACCGTCCGCTCGCAGGAGTGGAAGGTATGGCGAAGCTCTGCTTGAGCAAAATGATTTAATGGAATCAGAAAGTATCAAAAAGCAGGATAATTGACTGAGCAAGATCTAATTCTGTTTAGGAATGTTCAGAGGCCATATAGATTTTAAGATTAAAGGACTTTAAGGCTGCAGCTAACTGTTATTTTCATTGTCAAATAATCTTTGATAATTTTCTTGATTTATCAAGTAGTTGATTGGTCCATAAAATGTCATAAAATGGTGGAAAATGTTGATCAGTGTTTCCCAAAGCCCAAGGTGATGTCCTTGTTCTGTCCACAACCCAAATATATTCAGTTCATTTATAGAGGACTAAAGAAAGCAGAATATATTCACATTTTCTTAAAAAATGACTCAAAACAATTATTAATTATCAAAATGATTTAATAATTGACAACTGTTTGACTAATCGTTGCAGCTCTAATGGACATGAGTTTTTTTGGCTGTTATTTAAAACCTTAAAGAAATGTTTGCAGGTTTAAAAAGGTAGTTAAATGTAAAGGTGAAGGAAAGTTATCTGTATTTGTAGCTGTAGGTATGACAATTAGCCTTGAGTTAACAAATTGACATGCATTAACATATGGAATAAAAATATATAAAACAAGAAACCAGGAAAAATAGTTATATTTAATTAATAATAATTGGACTTAATTAAGCTGTTATCAGTAAGGAAAAATCAAACAGAGCAGAACCTTTGTCTGTTCTCCACTCCTTTAGGATAACAGTGCTGCCATTGTAGACCACATTTTTGCCAGCAACAGTTTGGTGTGCCCTGCCATCCCTGTCTATCACCTCCGAGACCTTATCAAAAGGTATGTTCTCACACATATAGCAGTAAGGACTAATTCCAATTGTTCAGATATGACTACCATGCTATGTACTGTACTGTGCATTGGCCTGCTTTCTTTTGTAATCAGAGGAATGTTTGCCTGTAGTAACAGTTCACAGAGTTCACTTGTTACTTTGTGTCTGCAGCATGCTTCTCAACGACCCAAAGCAGAGATGCATTGCTGAAACTGCCCTGCTGAGTCCATTCTTCAGTATTCCCTTCGGTATGTGTCAATATTTGAGACGTCCACCAAGATTAACATATCTCTCAGTGAACCATATCTCTCTCTGTGTGTGTGTGTCTGTGTGTCTGTGTGTGTCTGTGTGTGTCTGTGTGTGTGTCTGTGTCTGTGTGTGTGTGTGTGTGTGTGTGTCAGCTCCTCACATTGAGGACCTGGTTCTGCTGCCCTCTCCTGTCCTGCGTCTGCTCAACCTGATTGATGACAGCCATCTGCACAATGAAGAAGAGTATGAAGGTATAACACTATATTTTTCATTTTTCTGCCTTTACAGTTTGAATTAATGATTTCCTTTGTGTGTGTAAAGACGTTTAAGGAAGTTTAAAAAATGTAAATGTTTCTCCCAGACATCCTGGAGGACATGAAAGAGGAGTGCCAGAAGTACGGCTCAGTGGTTTCTCTGCTCATCCCCAAGGAGAACCCAGGGAAAGGACAGGTTAGACTCTCAACTCTCAGGCGTTTCAGTTTAACTGAAAATGCAAGGAGTTACAGAGATTTCTCAAAGTGAAAACTAACATTTATTTCAATGGGCTACAATGGCTGCTGCTTAATGTCCGCTAATTCTTGGCCATAAACACCCCCATCAAAATATGTCTACTAAAAGTTCTTGTTTGTTTGTTTTTGCCACTGACAGGCTCCGATTGTTATTCTAAGTGCCTGACAACATTATGGAAAGGATCCCTACAGAGATAGAGCTTTTGTTAAACCAGTAAAACAGTAATTTTACCTTGCATATCATAAAACTCATCAAAACAGTCTTTGTTAGTCTTTCCACTCTTCCAACACTCACCAACTCTGGTTTGGTCAAAATAAATCCTTAATTCACCACCGTAAATGAGATAAACAGCTGCTTCAGTCGCTCCCCTCAGTTGGAAACGGAGGAACCGAGCCAGACTGCATTTGTAAACAAAGCACAAAGAGGCTGAGAGAACAACACAGGCAGAGGGACTGTGACGTCATCCTCTGCTCAGCACACCATGACTCCACTATATCTTTACTTAGCAAATAGTTGTTTGCTCCTATTTTCATCATTTCAATCTTATATATATCACTTTTTAAGACATGTAAGGTACACGTGTGCTGTTAACTCATCTAAAAGAGCTGCAAATGTATATGCCTAAAAGTCTAATGAACGAAACAACACTTGAATTAATCTGCAACACATACATGGCTCCACCAGAGCGCGACACAGTGATATCCAGTGGACATCGAGTTACGCACACACATTCAGTCATTCCCCCACTAATTCACCCACATGTCCTTTGTGTGTCCTCTAGGTGTTTGTAGAGTATGCCAACTCCAGCGACTCCAAAGAGGCTCAGAGGCTGCTGACGGGCCGCACCTTTGATGGGAAGTTTGTTGTGGCCACCTTCTATCCTCTCAGCGCCTATAAAAGAGGTTACTTGTACCAGACGGTGCAGTGAAGTCCTAAAGCTCAATTTACACCTCTGCACTGTTTGCATGAATAAAACACAACTGCATAGGGCACCACAGGTGGAGAGTGTTTTCTCCCTATAAATATAACCACAGCCAACACAGAGTCGTGAGTGGTTGCCCTGCAGCTCAAATGATTCAGTTATAAATGTTCTGCATGTGATCATGTGGTTTCCTACAGTAAATTCTGTGTTTCATGCAGAGTGTAAATTGAACTCAGCTGTGAGGAGTGTACACCAACACTAAACTTCTGCTTCCTCCAGCCTGTGTACACTACTCTTACCAGTGCACATCCATGTATTGCTTCAAGGTGACCTGCATCCATCTCATTTAATGACTCGGGCTGATAGTCTGTGGTCTGGGTTCAGCGGCTCCTCTTCTGGTTTTCCAAACCTACTCTCATTCATTCAATAGAAATTAGCCACACTAAAGAATGTGTAATCGAGACAAGAAAATTCCTCTCTGATGAGGGTTGCTAGAGCAAAAGCCCTCATCAGATGATCTGAGAATCTGTGCTCTACGTTACTAAGTAGTTCTACATATCTAAGTAGTTTGATCTCTCTCGATAAATTATTAGTGAAACACTTAATCTCGTCAGTTGAGTCTGGGATGTGAATAGAAACATGTAGCAGGATAACACTGATATTATATGTCTCAAACTTCAAATCCTGATGACAAACAAAATCCCTCTCAACTGAAGATTTCCTCTAGATAAATGAGCGTCCTATCCTGTTGTTAAATAAGGAATGATAGTAATTATGTTTGTTATGCTGAACATTTAATGAGAGGAAACGGCGTGGTACTAGGGGATATACAGGTATACTCTGCTTGGTTTCAGGGAGGATTGGTTTGGAGTGAGCCGTCTACCAGCTCACTCTCTCTCCGCCATTATCTGAGCAAGCCAAGGGCTCCCAGCGCCCTGTCCTGTAGCCTTATGCTTTGTAGCTTTTTTAATTTACACAAGTCTACGTACTCAGAATATATTTTATCATTAGTTGATTATGCTCCTGTGTATGAGGACATACAGTGAGTTTTGTGTTTTTACTGAAAGGGCACATGAACAAATCTTTTGGAGCACATGGTGAAAATAATGACTGACGTATGAGTGAAATGGTGGTGAGGAGTGGTTTAAAGCCACTGTGTAGCGTCTTTCCAATTTTTCTAATGGTGTAGGTTGTTTGTAGACAATCCTGGTGGGAACTGGTGTGGTGTATGTTTTGCTTTCACTAAAGTTGGACATTTTCCAACACATAGTGGCTTTAAAGAATGTGCAGTACTGATGGCTACTGTACTAACTAGACAGATGAAGTGTAATGTTATACAACCATCTAGTGCTTCAACTGATTCTTTCAGTACTACTGAGCATGAGCCAGTGGATTCATGGGTAGACCGCAACATCACAGAGGCATCAGACATTGTTTCTGTCAGTTTTAAGAAATGCTAGTTGCATGACAATGTAGTGAATTTTATGGATCAATAATGTGGACAGAAGTGTCATAAAATGTGCAGTCTTGATAAGAAGACTTTTTGAAACCAACAAAATGATATCATTGGTTATATTGGGACAGTTTTACCAATAGAGTCCAGGAAGAAGCGTGATGATGTTGGGTAGCAGCACCAAGGGGTCAGCAAGCGTGGTATTGCTGCAGTGGAATGTACCTTTTGTTGGAGAACCAGATTCTTTTGTTCTCTGGGTTTTTATTCTCTTGCTTCCACTTGATAACAGTGGCGATGTAGTACCCATCAAGCCCACTCTGTCACGCTGAAACATTAGGCGATTTCTACCCAAGTGCACTATGACATTCAAGCTAGCTAACTAACCAAAATGCTGCTATAACAACAGGTTGTGCTACAACTTCACGCGCCCATTCCTTACGTAGCCCAAGCCGTCGCAGATGCCTTAGAGAATAATTCCCTTCTAGCAGATGTAGTCCCACCCAGTAACAGAGCCGGACTGTAAGAGACAATAAAATGGAGTAGTGATCTGTTTTAGTTTCTTCATAAAGTGGAAAGACACTGACAATGCTGGCATCAGCTACAGTATATGCTATACTCACAGTATTTGCTAAATGCTGAAGCTCTTCTCTAAAAGTTCCATAGTCTTGTTTTAAAGTCTGGTGTGTGACGAGCCGCAGCTTGTTCACTCATGTTCTAGAGCACAAACATAGAGCCTAGCTCCATCTTGGAAAATGTGATTAAAGTATGTGAGAGAAACTAGATATTCATATAGAAGAAGAGAATATTTGAAGCTTACAGACGCATTAATCTTCCTCTGTCTGAGACCTATTTTTATTGAATGTGTTACTCCTTCCTCTATAAGAACACCTTGAAATTCTGCAACTAAAAATATAAAAACCTAGAGTCGGAGGACAAGTTGCAGTTTCGTCTTATCAAAAATACTACAAAAAAATTCCTATTTTTCTACAAACTTTATGTGTGCCTGAAATGTGAATTCCAAAGTTTCCACTTGAAGGCGTCACTGGCTTAAAAGAATCTAAATTTGAAACTTGAATTGGACTCCAACCACTTGACTACACAGCACTTTTTAAATTAGCAATCTGTGGTACGCAAGTGTGATGGTCAGTGTTGTTAGTTACTTGTGACATTTCCCTCATTTATCCTGTTGTTTGTCAAAGACCTGGTGCAAAAAAATGTCTTTGATAAAGTCAAGATATTATTTTAAGTTTAAAGTTTGATTTTCACTCCATGGTTTGTATTCGATAATGCGTGACAAGTGAGTGTGAGTGTAAGCTGTGCTCTTTACTTGGTATTTAAATACTGTGCGAGCGTAGAATTGAAAAATTTAAGGGTTCTGTATTAGTGAGTGTGCGTATAATCATAAGCATCAAAGGTCCCCAGCAGAAACTCAACCGGCGGCCGTTGCAGTTATGTATGTGTCACCAGGCCATATCACCCGGTCATATTTGCTGAAACTTTTCACTATATGCTGACAGTAGTACATGAGACAGATAATCTGTATAAAATAAGTTCCTCTGCCTCCTCCTAGTGCTGGTCTTGGCCAATCAGAGCCAAGAAAGATAGTTTATTGTGAAGTACACTTTGGTTCCCTGGCATTGACACTCAACAATCAACTATCTTCAAGCCGCCCATCCAAAACGTTGGTATTTGACAACCTGGAAATGAGACTCAACGATCAAACTATCTTTCTTTGCTCTGATTGGTTGTTTTCTTTCTGGCCCAGTGGATTCTTGCTAATGCCATCAGGAGCACTAGGAGGAGCCAGAGGAAGCTGATTGTTTCACAGATTATCCGTCTCATGTTCTACTGTCAGGATATGGTGAAGGTTTCAGTGAATATAACAGAATGACACTTTCGTTTGCTAGTATTTAATAGTGAGGGTTTTTATCCTTACATCCATCACATGGTCTTCCACACCTAAACTGACACTTCATTTCCAAATCTCTGTCCTGCCTTGTCCCTTAAGTTTTACATTTGCAGGAGCTGCGATAACAGCAGGTGATAAAACAGAGAAGCACAAAGGCAAAGTTAAGAGTAGATACAAGACCAAACCAAATATGACCTTTATGTCACTCTACCGACTGACCATCCACTGAATCGTCTATTAAAGCCACACTGCCATTGTTAAATGCACTGCTACATGATCAGTTTATAAATGCTACATTTATTGGTTTGTCCGTCATCTTGTATCACGTACTGGAGGGCGGTACTGATTCTGAAGTGTTAGGTGTGCATTAATGTTAGCATTAGGTTATTGGTTGAAGTTATGGTTTCTAGTGTTTGTAGTTTACATAGAAAAGGGCAAAGCCGGTTTCTATTGATGGCTGCACCTTAGAAGTATAATGTAACTGCCCTGCCTTTATGGATGACTAAGAATAACTAATTGATCCAGCGTTTGATTTAGAGCCCCACCGATATGGGACTTTTCAGACCAATACTTTATAGAAAAACAAATGAGATAATAATGGTTGGAGAAAACTACCCATTTTCTGTTTTTTACAGAAACTGCTATTTTCCCAATTTTAGTTTTCTCATTTCAAAATTAAAATCTGTTGGCCACAAAGCACACAGGCCATAAACATATACATCAATAATGATACGATACTGATATTTCTGCTACCGGCTAATATCGGTCGGGCTCTAATTTGACGATATCTGTTACCTGCAGGTCTGAGTCTGGTTCTGCTAAGACTTGGGCAGTTCAGATTACATAAGCATTAATAGTCTAAGAAATAACCTGCATCCACAGAGCTCTGAGCGTCTATAGTGCTAACCTAAATATTTAGCAGTGTTTAAATATTAGACTCAAATATTTATTGAGGCTACTGTTGACCTGAATTATATAATATCGGGTGGTTTGCTGCATGCTGATCCTGTTTTTGAGAAGGAGCTCATTTTAGTTGTAATCCTAAAAGTATCTTGAGCTCTAGGATATGCAAAAGCATAATTTTTTTGTTTGTTTACACAGTGATTTCACCTTTATATTATTATCTTTAGCTTAGATAGTTTTTCTCTCTCTGTGCAGAGGGCATTATGTTTTTGTTCCAATTTAAAGCTGCAATAGGTCACTTTTTATAATAAAAAAAAAAATTAGAAAGGAAAGATGGTTTGCGTTAGTGTCTTAAAGATGGTTGATTGTTGAGTCTTATTCCAGGCATCTGTATTTGACAACCTGGGAATGAGACTCAACAATCAACTATCTTTCTTTGCTCTGATTGGTTGTTTTCTTTCTGGCCCAGTGGATTCTTGCAAGTGCCATTAGGAGCACTAGGAGGAGCCAGAGGAACCAGATTTTTTCACAGTTTATCTGTCTCATGTACTACTGTCAGGATGTAGCGAAAGTTTCAGCAAATAAGGCAAAACGTTACTTTTACAAAAGTTACCTACTGCAGCTTTAAGTGTGTGCTATGCAGGTGAAAAAAGACACCTGCCACCTGTATGAAGTAGTGTACGCACAAAAGTAAAATCCTGGTACACTGTCTTCATTTCACACTGTTAATATAACACCCTACTAATGTGATGTGTGCTAATGTGTGCACATAGTTAATGCTCACTGCCAGAGTTAACCATTTAGGGACATAATCCAGTTTGACGTGAATTGAGCACTTCAGTCAGGCAGCATCATGGGACATAAGATTCCAGTGTGTCATTATGATCTGACATGGACATCATTTTCTACCAATCAGCGACAATATGCAAACTAAGGCAAACAACTCTTTTTTTGTTTGTTTGTTTAATCAGTTCATTACTTTATTTTTTTTAGATTATTGTGTTGGTTGTGGACTGTAGTACTGTTGCTGAGCACAGTGTTGGTCAGCAGGGACAGAGAGGGGACAGGGTGGAGAGCAGAATCAGATGCCTTTAAGAGCTCTGTGTGTTGGGCGATCCTGAGCCCAAAGTGATTTTCTTCCAGTTATTATATTCATATTGCGGAGCTGAGAATAAGTTGAAGCTGCCTTGCCACAACCTGCACTAGCTTCCAGTCAAACAGGAGACAGACAGGGGCCTCTGTCCTGTAGGGATTCAGTGGGGATGCATGAAGTTCCTTGCTCCTTTTGCCTTCATGCTCAGCTCCAATTTCTTCCCGCCTGGCCTCAGAGTCCTCCATTCCTGTCTTTAGGTCTGTCTTCAAACAAGTGTCTTTAGTACTTACTCTTCCGGCTTTTAAAGCTGTATTAGGTCAGATTTGAATCCGTCTTCCCATCTGTTTGAATTATTCTGTTATTGTGTGTGGACACTAAAGGGAACCTGTGCTCACAGAAACGGCAACATCCAAACAGTCTTCTGCACATGCAGCAAAATGTAGTTGAGTTTGGGTTTTCTTGACACTGCATTACATGATTTATGGGTGTTTAAGTCTCAGCAACACTTACTTCTCACTTGCCATCTGGTTCTACCAATGAGCTAAAGCAGCATTAAGTTGGTTTATCTCCCATTTTCTGTCATCTAAGATGTCATTTGTCCGTCTTCTTCCTGTCTTTGCTGCTCAGAGTGGTTCATTTGTGCACTGACAGAGATTCAGGGCTGTGCTTTATTTTCATGGCACCTGACCTCTAGGCCTGACTTTGATAAGCTCTCAGCACATTTGCATTAGTGTGTGTCTAGATCATTTGGACAAGGTGTGTCTGTGTGTGCGCTCGTGTAGAGGATGAAGTAGCGGTAACAAATTATTACCATATTTGGAGGCGGGGTTTATAAGTTGCAGCTGTCTACCTGTGTGCATGGTATGCCTGTGTGAGACAGTTCTATGTAACATTGTGTGTCAGACAATTTTGTGGGTGTTTGTGTGTGGTGTTATTGCTGAAGCACTATATGCCTGTTTGCTTGCAAAGGGCAATTTTAAATCATAAGGACAGTGTGAGTGCAGCCAGCCATTTATACTGTGATGTCTATAGTTTCCATTCCTATTAACAAAGCACACATTATTTAAGGCTAGACTTGAAATTCTGTACAGCACAGAGGTTAAAAGGTGAAGTGCAGTGTTGTCCAGAAAAGATCAAATATAAAGAAAGTGAATCAACTGCTTCATTTTGCTCAACAGAGCCTGACACAAAACTCTGAATAAAAAACCTCACTGACTGTGTGGATGGAATTAGTCAAGTGAAGGTAAATAAGAACAATCACACTACAGCAATCTCAATGTTTACATGCGCAAAATATTCCGTTTTTTGCCTTTATACTGAAAGACAATATTCCTACTAATCTGTTTACGTGACTAATGATAATGAGACATGCTGATGTATGCTGTGCGTACTCAAGTTAATGTAACTGTTAATGACGTACTATACGACCTACAGAGGAATTTCCCTCCTTTTCCTTCCTTTTCTATACTTGTACTTTGCTACCAACAGATTTTTGTCTTGAAATAGGAAAACCAAGATCAGAAAATGAGCCATTTGCTAACATAAATCTATAAAAACAGAAAACTAAAAATCTAAAAACCAAAATGAAAAACAACCTGGTTTTGAAAATAAAAACAGAAAAGGAAAACATAACCCGGTCTTTTCTCCATATTTATAAATAGTAGTTTGCTTTTCTCATTTCAAAATAAAAGTCTGTTGGGAAGTATACTGTGAAAGAAATGTTCCTCTTTTTCAACCTGCAGTAAAACTGGAACACCCAGAGCCACTTGAGCCATTTTGCCTCTTTGTGTCAAGGATTTTTTTGGTTGTTCAACTGTGAGAACACAGCGTCTCTCTTTCATCCATTCAACCACCTTGAAGAGGTCGGCTTTGTTATATTTGTACTCCCAGAAACCTTCTAATATCCAAGTCTTTCGTGATGTTTAAAAGCAGTCCTGTTTCTCCTTCTGACCAGAAATAATTGGCTTTACTTCTGTGCATGCATTTCTACCCCAGCCTCACAAACTGTTGGCTAGTTGGTTTGTTTACAAAGCACAGAGCTGGAAACAGCAGTAAATAACCCCCAATGAGACACATATTCCGAATGCGCTGTGTGCATGTCCAAAGAAGGCTTCTACAACCTGAATAATATTGACACGTCCCACGTCTTAATCAGAAAATGCTACAATAAGACCTAATTATCAATATCTAAACGGAATACACTGTTTACATGACCCTTATCCAATGTGGAATGTTGTCATTCTCTGTATAATAGTGGGAAATGAGTGTGCATCTAAACGTAGTCAGTGATTATACCTTCACATGTAAATCTGTTGGGTCATTCTTGGGCTGTCCTTGCTGTTAATGTGAATAAAGTGTTTGCCAGTTACAGAAATCTATGTGAATAACTAATGTCATTTTAAAGCTGCAATAACCAATTGATTTTAAGGGCCAGAAAACCAAAACAACTACCCAATATAAACTGATCCTTCTCTGTGGGCTTTGGCTCTACTGTTGATTAGTGCAGCTTTAACTGCCTGTGTCACATTTGAATATTTTGGCATTTAAAATTGGGCCATGGGCCCCACCCTGAAGAACCAAGAGCAATAATCTAAACAGAAATCTGACCCCTAACCAGGTTTGTGAATAAATGTTGTGCTGTACGGGCTCTGAGGGCTTAGAAACACCAAATCGAGACCAAACTGTCAGACAACCAAAACTCATTTGATCAGGAGGGAGAACTTGCACAGATGTTATCATTTTGAGTTTGAACAACTCAAAACTGTCTTTAAATAAAGACATTCCTTGTGACAATTGTTGCCTTTTTTGGTTGAGGTTTTATTTCAACCAGTGAGTAAAAGTTGGTATTTGGGCAGTAGATGAGAACAGTGGGATGATTGATTTGGCAAACATAATTCAAAAGATTTTTCTCAATGTAACATTAAATATAAAGAGTTTGTTTCTGTTCTCAGATAATCCATCCTCAGTGTCAAACTGCACTGAACAATTGTTACTCTTTGTTTCTAAACTTCTGCTTACAGGAAGCACAATGTGAGAAGGTCACTGTATGCAACACACACACAACCTGTATGAAACTGTGTGAGTTAGTCCATGCTTTACAGCCTTCCAGTTGAGAGTGGATCATGGCACTCATGCTGTTGTATTTGAGTATCTCATAATAAAATGATGCTTGACTTGAACTGATGTTTGTCTGTTTTGGGGATGGATGTAATGACAGGGCAATAAATGTGTAAGGAGATAGGAGCAGTTTAATTTCACTATACCCTAATAATCTGAGGGAAAGCATGTTCTTATCAAAGGTTTTATTCTCACCAGCAGTCATCAATGACACCAGATTACCACCTTTTGAACAATGTGGAACGTGATCTAACAGTTCTATACAGAACTTACAAAACAATTTAACTCAAAATCTAACAACAAATCCACAATGGAGACAAATCCTAGCAAATAGTGATCCATGGAGCTAAGGTGTGCTTATATACACGTTCAAAATGAAAGATGTCACTAAATGTTGGACCATTATGCCATGTGGAGTTTAAATTTCATACCAGGACCAGACAGTACACATATTCCCCTTTGAATCCACTCAACAATAACGTTGAGTGTGGTGCCTCTCTGTGGCCGCTGTTGGATCTACACTCAGATACGCACCATACCAACAAACTACAATGCACTGTGTTCTGACCCCTTTCTATCAGAACCAGCATCAACTGTCTCAGCAGTTTGAGCTACGGTAGCTCGTCTGTTAGATCAGACTTCAAACCATGTAATTTGTGCGATATTGTAGAATGTAAACTCCTCTTAAGGTGATTAACCCATCAATGTCCACAGTGGGATTTCATTTAGAGCATTTAAAGTAATAGCTGAGCTAAGCACAAATCTGTTGAAATGTCAGTCTAAGGCTGTAGTTAGATATAGATATACGTTGGTTTTTTTTTTCAATATTTCCATTGTGTTGACCTTAGAGACATTGTATAATCTATTATAGGATAAAGTGAGTAACTCATTTTGACCAGTGACTAAATTTAGTAAATATAGTACAGAAATGGCTGTATAGCTAAAAAAAAATATCAAATGCGTGGTACGGTTGGATTCAATAATATATCCAGTGTAAATCTGATATTTAATATGTCAAATTAATGTTATTTTTGTCATTATGTCAGTTTAAAAAGAAAATCTACTTTGTTTGCACACATTTACACTGAAGGGTTTTAGGCTCAAGCAGTCCCAGTCTGGGACTAAGTTCTGTAGGCTGAGATGATGCCTTCCAAAAGGTTTAAAATGTTGCCGTGCTACAAAGCCGGTGACAAGATGGTGTCTGAGGGTCATGTCTTTACCAACAAAGGTTTGAATTATTAACCTACTGGCTGCCTATTATCCTCACAGCTTCAATAAAATGGTTGAAAACCCTTGAAAGTAACCACAATACTGTAAATCAGTCACTCTGTGACTGGTAATGAAGACGAGGTGATGAAGGGAACAAATGCTGTCAAGAGATTTTATTCAAATTCAGAGATATACATGAAAAGGAGTCCAGTGACAATCTGATTAAATAGTTGTAGAGATCATTTAGTTCTCTTATCCGGTGAGTGCTGATTTGCTGGACATCATGGAGTGGTACGAGCAGATGGTAACTCTTTGGTCGACTGCTCCTGTAATGAAATGGAGACACGTTTAGTACAGCTTTTTCAAAATGCAAACTAAGATCATGACAGTTTGCTTTAGATAAATTACTGTAGCACAAATGAGGCACAGTAAATTATTGCTAACAACTCACACTCAGACTCACTTCCATGAATCCAGGCATGTCCTGTATGATCACTCCCTCGTCGCTTTCCTGCAGCATCCTACTCCTCCTTTTCCTCAAGGCAAAGAGCATAGAAACCACCAACATGGCTGCAGCCACAGACAATGCCACGGCAGTAACCACTGCTAGGTTATTAGCAGCTCCCTGATGAACACCTTGGTTGGCAGCCATCATCAGACCAGCATCAGTGTGGACTGCAGAGCGGGGAAGAGGCTGAGAGGCCAGCAGATCAGATATATCTGAGGACAAGTAGACACATTTCAGAGACAGGGAGATCTCAGGGTATAGATATCAAGGGTCCTGTCTAGTGTCTGAATGACTCCACACCTTCCAGACTGAAGAGGAAGAAGGCATCCTCTCCTTTGATGAAGTTTCTGCTCTTCAGCCTGGTGTGGGTGATGAAGGTACTTGTTCCGGTGCCAGGACCTCGATAGTAATAGCTCCCATCAGACGCAGTCACTTTAGAGCCCACCTTCCTGGGATTGTCCCAGTAGTACTCAGTGCCTGGGAGAAATAGATGATCTCTGTTGGATGGACACAACAACTCACTGAAATCTGTTCCACCCCACAAGTTATCCACCTTTCTCTTACCATCAGAGGACATCTTGGCAGGGTCGGTGGTGACCATGCGGTGCATGTTCATTTGCTGTCTGACGTCGGGCTGCTGATCCATCAGGGCCATTGTTCCCTGCTGCCATGGACACGGCCACTTGAGGTTGTGGTCGTTAGGGCCTGAGGTCAGGTGGAAGTAGGTGGCCATGTAGCCTGGACGGTCACTTCTTCCATTTAGGTACACGCCTACCTTCAGATCACAGAGTACTTAAGGTATGTACTACCTTTTCTTTTTTTTTTTAACTTAATGTTTAGATTATTAAAAAAATAGTTGCAACAGAAATCTGTGCAAGCATGTGATGGTAATGTGAGTTAATTGACCATTTGCTTATCCAGTTGTTGCTCAGCAAGTGGACCTAAGCACAGCAGGGTGTGTGAAGATTTCTCCGTATGACAAACCCTTATCAATAGTAACAATATAGCAGTAGAGATTACATTCACTGTTACATCTGGATAAAAAACTGAAAGGACTTTTCTTTCAGCATCCCTCACAATTGCTCGTAACATTTCTAATCCATAATCGTCTATAATAACATTTCTAATTGCAAATTTTGCTTTTCATGTGTGCAGTGTGTCTTTGGCCTACACTCACTTAATTAAAGAAGCAGAAATAACATCACTTATGGGGTGCCATATAGCTCACCTGGTAGAGCTGGCACCCAGTCTACTAAGGCTGAGTCCTTGGGTTCGAACCTGACCTGTGGCCCTTTGCTGCATATCATTCCTTAACTCTCTCCTCCCTTCCTGTCAATCTATAGCTGCCCTATCCAATAAAGGCAAAAAGTATTTAAAAAGAAATAACAATGCTTATTATTATGAATAATTTAGGTGTAAGGCTCATGTTTACACCATGGCTGAAATGGTGGGTTGGGAACTTGCAATGGAAGAGGAGTGGATTCAACCGTGTGTTTATCTGCTGTAACCTAAGCTGCAGTCTGGGTAACTAGCTTTCTGCCAACAGCAGTGACTGAGGGTTACTAGGTTTTGCTGTTTGTTGAACGTTAGGTGACTGTTACAGGCCTTGCTAAATGAATAAAATATGAAACGGGCATTTACCTGGAAGGAGTAACCTGCTGGTGACAGGAAGCGAGGGCTGTACAGTTTACGTCCTGCTGGTGTGGTGGCCAGCAGGCCGGTGATGTTGCGGATGTGCCAGATGTGCTGAGGGCACTTTGTGGATGACAGGTTAATGTCATCCAGAGAGAAACCTCCCTCTGATGGACTTTTTCCCCTCACGCCCTCAAAAACCACACGGGCCTTCTTTGTCACGTTCAGATTGATGTTGTGCAGTTCCCAGGAGCCCATGACACCTCCTGAAGAGAACGGACAGAAAGGAGAATGGATATTAATCAGCGTTAATCAGGATTGTATTACTGGGTTTCTTTGAGACTTTGATTGGATTTCTTTCAAATTCATCTGATTGCATAATGTATATATTTTGATAAAAAATGAGAGAATTCTGGTGAATTCTGGTTCAAGTGTGGGATGGGCTATGACTCTACAATAATTAATACATTATGTTATATTTCATTCGTTACCTGAAATGCTCTTGACTATCCTCAGTTTACCGCTGGGGTTGGCCTTGTCATACTCTCGCACCCAGATATTGAGAACATCATCAGCTGCCCCTGTGTTATGGAGGAAGAACTGCAGACACTGGGCTCCAGGTTTGGGGTAAAGCCAACGACTCTCCAGGAGCGCGTGGTCACCAGGTTTACCAGAAGCTGTCCTGAAGTGCATAAAGTATCCTTTTCCTGAGGGCGGCAGGAGACAACAGCGGGTAATGTTGGGCCTCAGAAGTTTGTCATATTGCAGAAAACAAGTAAAAAGTATGTTAGTTCTGCATTTTAGAGCTGTTGTTGGTGGGTTTTATGGTACCATATTCAAGAATCTGCTTCATCATTGTCAGTTCAGTACATGCTTATGGTCTCTTCAGGTCTGCCTGGATAATATAAAACACATTGCTAAGTTCTAAGAGTTTGAGTGGTCTCGCTCTTTTTACATCCTGTACTGTACTGCAGTTTTGTTGAAAGCTATGTCAATGGTCATATCTTTGTTAAAAAGATGATGATGAGGAGTTCAAAGTTTATTAACCAGCACAGAGGGGGATAGCTTTTTAGCTTAGTATGAGCAGTAAATCCCAGAATGAGCTCTTTATAACAACCAATGGAAAAAACAACTCTAAATTGTATCTAATAAATCACTTGGCATTTATCTTGAGACCTCAAACAACAATCAATATATTTTTACTGCCAGCCTGTACTTTGTACAGATTGTGTTATAACTCACCTCAGGAACCTTGGTTTTAAAATATCCTCAGACACTAAACCAGCTATCTACTGTATGAGGCTAGATAAAGAAGTGATTAGCTTTTATTTATAACTGCTAACTGGACAGCCACACATGTGCATGTATCTAGTAAGTAGTAGGTGTCTAAATTGCCGTGAGTCTTTCTTCGACAGTCACCTTTGCATTGTCCCATGTTGGAGAAGTCAGTCTGAGGTCCTCCGCTCACAGAACTCTTTTGTTCCCACAGTCTGTTGCCAGGACCCTGAATCATTCCACAAATGTTCTCCTCCTCAAAGCTGCAGCTGTCCACAAAGGTAGAGGACTTGGCTGTGGAGAGAACAGTCACAATTTCATCAAGAGCACAGTAAGAGTACAAGAAGACTTTTATCTTGAATGAATTCTGTGTTTTTGTGAGAAATTGGCAAGAGGAGCGTAAAATCCCGACAGAATATCAGACATATAGAGTGTTGC